CTTTAGGTTCTTTCTAAGAGGACTGTGTTTAAATTGAAAGCAGAAGCAGGTGGTAGCAGTCATGAGAATGTTGCACTTTTTACTCAAATACAATTGTTCATAAACTCTAATCTCTCAGACTGTGATTACGTGTGTTTGGCATAATGCTTGTGAACTTAAAGTACAGTGAGCGGAAATGAGTATTTCCAATCCCCAGCTATTTCTTTCACAATCCTACCTTACTTCCTCTGCTTCATTGATGTAAGGGGAAGAAATGCCTTCATTTCCTTTGTAGAAAGGAATAGAATGGAAAGCCAGCAACACAGCAAGAGAACCCTGTTAGCTGCTGTGGGATTAAAAAATAACTATTAAATAACTTGTAACCATAAATTTTGTGGTTAAAATTCTTTTAAAAATTATCAATTAAAGCCAGTTCTTCCAGAGGTTAAACTTCTTCTGTATGCTCAGATCCTTTTGGAAATACATTATATTTTTATAGTATAACTCAAGCTATGTTAGAATCCATATTTTAGTAACCACAGTAACTACATTTGTTTATTTAAAAACAAATAACCAAGGCTCACTCACTTAAGATTATTTTTTGCTTGTCATCATCTGGTGTGGGTCATTTGACTGTTTTGGTGGCTTAGAAACTTGGACTGAGGCTGCTTCCATCAAGTGATTCCACCATCCATTCTTCCATCCTCTACAATGGGAGAGGGAAACAAACAGCTAATACCTGCCCCCCTCCCTTTTTTAAAATGAGTTAACTGTTTTATATAAAATGAAGTTTTTGTCATTATGTCTCTGCTTATATCACTTACCTGAAACAACCTCATTCAAGGACTTTAAAATCACTTAAAGTCTCAGTTTGCAAGAACGTATTGCTGACCCTAAGTGAGGATTTACTGTATATACTGTATTTCTGTTGTTCATTTGTCCATCCGTAGATACTTAGATTGTTTTCACATCTTGGCTGCTGTGGATAATGCTGCAATGAACATGGAAGTGCAGAACATGGAAGTGCAGAAAGTAATAATTTAATTCCCTTCAGATATGTATCAGAAGTGGGATTGTAGCTCGGAACTTTTGAATAACCTTCCTACTGTTTTCCCCAATGACTGTGTTGATTACATTCCCACCAACAGTGTACAGGGGTTTCCTGTTCTCCATAGTCTCACCGACACTTGCTATCTTTTATTTTTTTTGATAATGACTTTCCTAACTTGTGTGAGGTGATATCTTATTGTAGGTTTTTTTTGTTTTTTTTTTTTTTTTTTTTGCATTTCCTATGATTAGTGAGCTCATACCCATGCATAACTGAGTTGAACTCAGTAGCAACACATGCCACTTCTGCTTTTGTTGGCAAGAACTAGTTACATGGCACATTCATCTACCTATGGGAGGACGGGTAATGTAAGGGAGTCTCAGAGCCATTTGGGGATCTGAAGGTCACTCATATGTATTGTTTCAGCTCGGGATAGCATGTTGACATAGACTTTAGAGACCAGCATACCATTGTTAGGAAGGCTTCATGTTCATAATGAAGGACATATACTACCTAATTCCTTTTCTCCTTTCTTCTTCCCCTACTTATAAAAAGTTGCCTTTGTGACCACTGATAAAGAACAGATAAAGAGAGCCCTTCAGAGATTTAATACATCAAAAATTTGTGGTACATATACACAATGGAATATTACTCAGCAATCAATAAAGATAAACACATGCAGTTTGCAGCAACATGGATGGAGCTAGAAGGGATCATGCTCAGCGAAATGAGTCAGAAAGAAAAAGAAAAATACCGGATGGTCTCACTCATAGCAGGAATTTGGAAAACCTAAATAAGAGACCAGGAAAAAGACTAATCAGTACAAAGCAAAAATCAAAATCAACAAGCAACTATAAACCAAAGACACACTACAAGGGGTGGGGAAGGAGTGGTGGGGAAAGGAAGGACTAGTATCAAAATAAGGGGGGGTGCAATTGTATGGGGAATATAACCAAAATGAAAATGCATACATTGTGCAAAGATGAAAAAAGATGTAAGAATTATATAAAATAAAATATTTAAATAAAATAATAAAATAGTAAATAAATAAATAAATAAATATCTACCATCCACACGGACACAAAAATTTTTTTTGCTTCAGAATGATGAAAAAAGTTAAAAAAAATTAAGACTAATTATAATAAAGTAAAAGTCAAAATCAACAAGCAACTATAAACCAGAGATACACTATGGGGGGGAGGGGAGGAGGAATTAGGGTCAAAATAAGGGGGGTGGAAATTGTATGGGAAATATAACCAAGATGAAAATGCATACATTGTGCGAAAATGAAAAATGATGTAAAATATATAAAATAAAATTTAAAAAATTGGTACAATATACAGTGCTACACCTTTCATCTTATCTGTATGGCTCCTAACATTATTAAGGTTCTCATTAACTGTTAACTTTTCAGTTGGTTTTAAGTCTTCAGAATAGAATTGAGTAATCATTAGCAATACCTTAGATGGGTAAAGCTTAAGGAGCAGGTTTAACCAAATCTTTTGATAATATTTACATGTTGGATGGAATTCTTAAAATTGTTATGGCTGGGGTACTTATCCAAGTAATTACTGACATATTTTTTTATGAAGAATGATGGTTATAATAGAATTTAAGAGGAACAAAATATACCTTAAAATTAGATTTTATTATCTTATTTATATTATTTTAATCTACAGTGCTTTTTACATGTGTGCCTGGTAATTTTCACAATAATGTAGGCTAAAAGTAAATGTTAGCATGTTGTATACCAAGTCTAATTCATATTCCCACCAGCCAAATCATGTCTCCTTGATTCTAACTCTTGTTATACTGTCAGTAACATGTCTTAGTTTTCTACTTTATCTTTTACTACTGGTGTTCTACAAGAGCACTTCGTAGGCTTTTTAAAAATTTTTTTTAATTTTTTTTATTTTTATATTCCCCATACAATTGCACCCCCCCTTATTTTGACCCCAATCCCTACTTTCCCTGCATCACCATAGTGTGTCTCTAGTTTATAGTTGTTTGTTGATTGTGATTTTTTTCTTTCTTATAGTTATTCTTTTTCCTGGTCCCTTATTTAGGTTTTCTAGATTCCTGCTATGAGTGAGACCATCTAGTATTTTTCTTTTTCTTTCTGGCTTATTTTGCTGAGCATGATCCCTTCCAGCTCCATCCATGTTGCTGCAAATTGCATGAGTTTATCTTTTTTGATTGCTGAGTAATATTCCATGGTGTATATGTACCACATCTTCTTGATCCAGTCATCTATTTTTGGGCATTTGAGTTGTTTCCAAAGCTTAGCTATTGTAAACAGTGCTGCTATAAACATAGGTGTGCAGGTGCCCTTTGGAATTGAGGTTTCTGTGTCCTTTGGTAATACCTAGGAGTGGAATTGCTGGATTGTATGGAAGCTCTATGTTTAGTAGGTCAAGAACTCTCCACACTGCTCTCCATAGTGGTTGGACCAGTTTGCACTCCCACCAGCAGTGCAAGAAAGTTCCTTTTTCCCCGCATCCTCGCCAACACTTGTTGTTGCTAGTTTTTTTTAATATGTGCCATTCTCACTGGTGTAAGATGGTATCTCATGGTAGTTTTGATTTGCATTTCCCAATTACAAGTGATGTTGAACATTTTTTCATATGTCTGTTGGCCATTTGCATTTCCTCTTTGGAGAAGTTTCTTTTTAGCTCTTCTGCCCATTTTTTGACTGGATTATTTTCTTTGTTTTTGTTGAGTCTCATCAGCTTTTTGTAGATTTTTGTGATCAGTCCTTCATCATTAGTATTGTGTACAAAAATTTTCTTCCAGTCGGTGGGGTTTCTCTTTGTTTTGGTTATTGTCTCTTTTGCTGTGCAGAAGCTCTTTAATTTGATGTAGTCCCAGCTGTCTATCTTTGCCTTCACTATCACTGCTTTGGGTGATGTGTCTGTAAAGATGTCTTTGAGGTGCATGTCATGTAGTGTTTCACCTATATTTCCTTCTATATATTTTATGGTTTCAGATCTTATGTCTAGTTCTTTAATCCATTTTGAGTTGGTTTTTGTGCATGGTGTGAGGTAGTAGTCAAGTTTCATTCTTTTGCATATAGTGACCCAGTTTTCCCAGCACCATTTATTGAACAAACTTTCTTTGCTCCAGTGCATATTCTTTGCTCCTTTGTCAAAGATTAGTTGACCATAAATCTGTGCGTTTATTTCTGGGTTTTCTATTCAGTTCCATTGGTCCGTGTGTCTGTTCTTGTTCCAATACCATGCACTTTTGATTATTATGTCTTTGTAGTATAGTTTGAAGTCTGGGAGTGTGATGCCTCCATTCCCTTCTCTTTTTTTCAGGAGGGTTTTGGCTATTCAGGGTTTTTGGTGGCTCCATATGAATTTCATCAATATTTTTTCTATTTCTTTGAAGAATGACATTGAAATTTTAATTGGAATAGCATTGAATCTGTAGATTGCTTTTGGTAGGATGGCCATTTTGATAATGTTAATTCTTCCGATCCATGAGCAGGGAATGTCTTTCCATTTCTTTGTGTCTACTTCTATTTCTTTTAACAATGTTTTATAGTTTTCTTTGTATAGGTCCTTTTCTTCTTTTGTTAGGTTTATTCCCAAGTATTTGATTTTTTTTGTTTCAATACGTAACCTTTTGTTTTTAGAAATATCTTTATGCTGCAGAATTTCAGGGACTAAACTATTTGTAAGTATTTGTTGAATAGTTATCTCACAATTTAACAACTGAAAAGCTTCATTTACTGTTGCTTTTTCACACCTACATTATGGTAATTGATTAGTAACACCCTGATACACTTCTAAGTCATATTGTTTATTTTCCTGATTAGTCGAAAATCCCTAATGTACAAAGTATAAGATAAAGGACAAAGGTAGTGGTTGATTCATCAAAGGCACATGACTCTTAAATCTGGCTGATTGAAATAAACTATTGTACTAAGAAAATATATTTTTCTTCTTATCCTCACAATATTTTTTTTCAGGCAATAGAGATTTTACCAAAGATGACCCATTGGAGTTTAAGTCCCACCAGTGGTTTGGAGCATCTGTACGATCAAAGCAGGATAAAATATTGGTAAGTGTTTTAGATATTTCTTCATGGGTGAGTTTAGTCAATTTATATGGAAGCACAGAGCTTTATATTTGAAAGCTGATAATCAAATGCAGTGTGCTTAAGGGCTCAGTTATAATGAGATAACTCCGATCAGAAGCTTCCTCATCAAAGGACACCATCGCTCTTGTTTCACAGACTTCGCTTCTGCCACCTTCATTCCTACATTGTCCATTTCTCCCACCCACTTGGTTGTTTCTATCAGTTTGTTTCTATCCAGTCAGTTTGAGGGACACTGTGCCTTTGATTAATCAAAAGCTCTAGTACCTCCTCTCTTTAAAAGTCCAACCTTCTCTTTATTTATCATCCTCCAGCTCATCCCTTCCTTTCCTTTGAAAGCGCTTTCTCAAGTAAACATTTACTTCCTCGCCTCACATTCTCTTCCAGCTTCTCTAGGCAGCTTGCTGGGTATGGGTAACGTCACCCTTAGCTCTCAGGTTCCTGAAATCTCCTGATGCTTGTTTTTAATCTTCCTTGTTCCCCTCAGGACCATTTGACGTGGTCAGCTGATGCATTCTTTTTTTTTTAAGATTTATTTTTATTTATACAAGAGCTGGGGGACAGGCCAGAGGTGCGGGAGGGTGAGAGGATTCACCAGAGACAGAGCGGGGAGCAAAACAGGCAGACGAACTGAAAACACTGCTGAGGGGAGCAGCAGGCAAGACAGGAGAGGTCTGCCACGCAATGTGGGTAGCTCCTTGGCTGGCCGGGATCGAACCCGCTCTGCAGCTTTAGAGGTTGTGGACAGCTTCAGAGCGCTGCGCCACCGGGTAGGCACAGCTGATGCATTCTTTTGAAATCTTTTTCTTGTCTTCTGGGATACTTTACTTTCCTGGTTTTCCATCTTTCTGGTTTTTCCTTTGCAAGACTCTCCTATAGTGGTCCCTCTTCTGCTCAATTTCTAAATCTTGGGGTCTGCCTCAACTCTGATCTGAACCCCTGTCTTCTCTAACTATACCTTTTCCTTAGCTGTTCCTAGCTCATCCCTGAACTATAAATACAGTCTATATGTCTTCATCCCCAAACCTGTATCTTTAACTCGTATTTCTCATTGAATCTTTAAAGTTATATTTTCAAACTATTTGGCATTTCCATATGGATGTCTCATATATTGCTCAAAATGAAGATGGCTCTGTAGAAGTCTTGTTACCCTTTGTCAAAAAGGAGAAAACACCGAAATGACTCTCCACAGAAAACTTCCCCATCTTAGAGGAATGACTCTGCCCCATCCACTGACAAACCCTGTCAGTTCTGCCTGTACATATATCCCACAGCCATCCAGAAATCATCATTTCCTCTATTTCTAATCAGGGCCAATGTGGTAGCCTTTCTCATATCTCTGTTTTCCCTCTTGCTTCAGTAACTATCCATTTTCCATAAAAGGACCAGAGTGAACTAGGCATTTCACCTTCTTGATTTGAAGACAGTCAAGTAGCTTTCTATCTCTCTCAGAACAATGATATATGTTCATGCATATAGCATCTCCATAATCAGGTTGCCGGCTGCTATCTCTGGTATTATCCACCGTGCATGCTTTAGCTACAATAGTCTTATTCCTTCCACATGCCAGATTATCTCAACTTAACTTAATGTTTGTGTTCTCACAGCTTGTAATGGTCATCTTGTTTTTCACTTGGCTTGTTCTTCATCATTCTGGTTTCAGCTTTAAATTTATTTCCTCAGAGGACCCTTCCCTATTCTAATTATTGGCAAAGCACTTCTTTCTCTTTTTTCATCTAATTGTGTAATACTAGGGAAGAATTTGTGTGGGAGGTAGAATTTCATAAGAGCTTTAAAATTTGTGTCAAATTTTAGCAGTTGGAGTTGAAGAATAGGGTTGAGAGTGGGGTCATTCTAGCCAGAAATTGGTTAAAAGAAACAGAATAAGCAGAGGAAGCAAACCATGTACTGGGGAAGATGGACTACACATAGAGAAGTAACGATTACCTACTTGTAGTTTTTCAGGGTGATTATAAAATAACCCAATCTTGATATCAGGAGTGTTAGTGTTTTTGCTTCAAAAAATATTATCTAGGGCTTCCCCGGTGGCGCAGCAGTTGAGCGCTGGGTTGCGAAGCTGCCCGCGGCCTCTGCGGCGCCGGTTCAATCCCCGGCTGCTCCCCGGCCACCGGAGGAGGGTCCCACATGGCGCGCAGACCTCTCCTGCCGCCCGCTGCTCCCCTCAGCAGTGTACTTCGGTCCTTCTGCCTGCTCTGCTCCCCGCTCTGGCTCTGGTGAATTCTCTCACCCTCCCGCGCTTCTGACTATACCCAGTGCATGTATAAACAAAAACAAACAAACAAATAAATAAATAAAACATGCCTCTATTAAAAAAAAAAATATTATCTAGTATTTATTGAACATTTTCAGCAGATTATTGTTACACTTTTGGTAGATTTCTATGCTATTAAAACTTGCATTATATACGGATTATACATGGTATTGAAATCTATAACTGAAAACAAAAAGGTCGTAACTTATTTGGAAAGTAAACAAAATAAGATTTATTTATTTATTTATACAAGAACCGGGGTACAGGCCAGAGGTATGGGGGGGTGAGAGGATTCACCAGAGACAGAGCGGGGAACAGAACAGGCAGATCCACTGAAATACACTGCGGAGGGGAGGAGCAGGCAAGACAGGAGAGGTCTGATGTACCATGTGGATTAACTCCCTGGCTGAGGATTGAATTTGTGCTGCAGTGGCTGGTGACAGCTTGAAAGCACTGTCTCTTTAACCTCTGCACTACCAGTGAGGCACCCTGATTTGGATAATTTTTATTAGTGCTTAAAAAGACACAGTACTACCAAGCTATTGCCAGCCACTGCAACATGAGTTGGATCCTCGGGCAAGGAGATAACTCACACAGTGCAGCAGACCTCTCCTGTCTCACCTGCTGCTCCCCTCAGCAGTATGTTTCAGTAGATCTGCCTGTTCTGCTCCCCATTCTGTCTCTGGTGAATCCTCTCATTGCCCTCCCACCTCTGGCCTATACCCCAGTTCTTGTATACATAAATAAATAAATCTTTAAATAAAAAAGTGATGTTATATTCTGAGGTAGTATGGATTGCCTGAAGCACTATGTTTTCAGATAATTTTTATGCAATGAACTGTATACCCTCTTTGGTTTTAGGCCTGTGCCCCACTTTACCACTGGAGGACTGAAATGAAACAGGAGAGAGAACCAGTTGGAACATGCTTTCTTCAGGATGGGACAAAGACTGTTGAGTATGCTCCATGCAGATCGAGTATGTATGGGAATTTGTACCAGCTTTTCAGAAGAAGGGTGGAAAGCTTAGTTTAAGTGTACATGTACATGTGTGTGCATGTGTGGTATGTGTGTGTGTGTGATAAAATTTGTAGATAATGCGATATGTGATGACAGCAAACTGAAAACATTTCTATTAATATTCAGAAATTATGAATGCGTAGTCAATATGTTTGTCTTTTCTTCCAAAGACCTAATTTTTGTCTTCTTTGGTTAGTAGTAATTAATAAGGGATAATGGAAACTTGTATCTTTCATTAGCCTTAAAATGCTTCTGAGAGCTGCTCTAACAGAGGTATGGAGTCCCCATAACTAAAGATTCTGATTCATTAGGTATAGGTGGGGCTTGGGAACCTACATTTTCAAAAGGTCTGCAAGGTAATTCTGGTGGTTACTGATGTTTGAAAACCAGTTTTATATTAAAATGATGTTAAAAGCAAAAAATTATGTTTTGAAGATGCAGACTTTGTATATGAAGTTGAAGCATCAAGCTTAAGAACCTGAATTTGAATGTTCCCTGCCTTTAACCAGACTTTATTTATGTGATTACTGAGGTTATTGTTTTTCTGAAGATCTAAAGTTCTCACACTGTTCTCTGGTGTTATGTGAAATTTCAAATGAAATTAATACTGTGACTAAAGATGATTTTGAACACTTGCCATTTTGATTATGCTTCTCCAAACTCTGCACATCCTTTTCCCCTTGGAAATTCTATTCCCTCTGCCTCCCCACCTTTGCTGAACTGGCCACCAGCGCAGAGTCTCTTTATTCCAAATGCATAGATACAACTTACTGCAATGTGGAGTGGAACACTTTGTAGGCCAGTACTTTTTGTATCCCATGGTAAATTAGTGGAGAGAATTAGTAACAGAACTACACCATGCAAGACTCTTACCCTAGATTCTTTCTCCCCCCATGTTAAGCAACTTGTGACACCAGGTCAGAGGAAGTACTCAGATCTCAAAATTCTAAGTAGTTGAACCACTAAGAAATAGGAAATGATTTCACTGAACATGTATTTCTTAGTAAATCTTACTTGTCATAAGAAGCAAACATCAAGGGAATATCTGTCCAGAATTGTGCTATCTTTTAGGCTGTGTGAGAAGGCACAACCTGCACAGGATGGGGGAAGCCACAGCGTCACACACTCCGGGCTTGATGGCGTCTGTATCATCACCTTTGTGTTAGTGTTTTGGTCCCCAGAGCTGCCATCTTTGGTGGTAGACGGAACATGTGCAGGCTACATTTAAATTTTCAAACATACAAGCATATAAAGTCACCCCCATTTTCATTTGATAAAAGTGGAAACTAAGAGTCTATCCTTTTTATTGCTGAGCAATATTCCATGATGGGATTATGCCCAGCGAAATAAGCCAGAAAGAAAAAGAAAAATATCGGATGGTTTCTCTGATAGGAGGAATGTAGAGGAACCAAAGAAGGGATCAGGAAAAAAAGTAACTATAATAAAGTGAAAATCAAAACCAACAGGCAACCATAGACCAGAGACATTCTGTAGGGGAAGAAGAGGGAGAGGGATCAGGTCAGGGATGGGACGAGCACAAGGGACTATGGTTTGTCTCATTCCAATTATGGTGATGGTGCACGGGTGGATTGGTGGTGGGAATTTCACAGGGAAATCATTGTAGGGTAGGGTAAAAAGTATCAGGCTTTTCTGCCCTCCTACCATTAGGATAGATGATGGAACCCTGTGGTCCTGAATGCATGCCTGATGGCGGGCACCTGGAGTAGGGTGTGGGCATATGTAGATAGGATTCACCTGGGCTGAGACTGGGCTTTTTAGGGGCAGCGTCGCGGGGAGGCCAGCAGAAGCCAAGAGAGAGAACCACGAGAGAGCAGAGAAGCAAGGCCATGAGAAAACGCCGGAGAGCCCAGATAGAGTGAAGACTTGCTGGGGGCTGGGAAGCCTGCCAGCCTCCTGGCCCCCAGCACCCCTGCCTGCCATGTGCCTGGTAAATCTAAATAAAAAGCCTGCAAAAGCCACTGAGGGCTCCAGGACTCCTCCTTTACCTGGTCTGTTGGATCAGAAAACCTGCCCGGTGGCCGTTCCTGCCCCTAAATCATACATTGTACAAAAATGAAGGATGATGTAATAAATATATTTTAAAAATTTAAAAAAGAAGTAGAAACTAAGATTCAAACAGAGAAGGTAATTTTTCCCTGTATTTTAAGGTAATAAGCCACCTAATTAGGATTTGGTTTGAAGCAGGTTTGTCTCATTCCAAAGGAACCTTTCCCCCATATTACTAACAACAGTAAATGTTTTTTATTTCATTTGCTTCTGTCTTCAGCACAGCTTTTTTTTTCTTTTTTTTTAAGCACAGCTTTTCTACGAAGAATACATTCACTTTCATGAGTGTGGATTTGGATATTTCTTTATGTTTAAGAGTGCACAGAATCCCTCTGAAAAAAGTATTCTAATTATGATCCCTTGTAGATATATTGCTGTGTTAGACTAATTGTTCTTGCCGTTTTGTGTCTTTAGTAATGACCAGTTCTTTTCTCGACATGTATGTAAAGGACTATGGTGATGTTTGCATGATGTACCTATTACATAATGCTTTCACTTACTTGGTTTAGGCACAGGAATTATAAAATGATATAAAAATCTTTATTTTCTGAAGTATTTACTATCCAAATTAGCTTAGCAAATTATGGCTTGTGAGCCTTTTATTGTAAGTTAATTTTGTTTTTGTTTTTTTAGATTTATTTTATTTTTGCATGCAAGAGCTGGGGTACAGGCCAGAGATCGGCAGGGGGCGGGGGCAGTGAGAGGATTCACCAGAGACAGAGTGGGGAACAGAACAGGCAGACTGACTGAAATACACTGCTGAGGGAAGCAGTGGGCGAATCAGGAGAGGTCTGCTGTGCCATGTGGGTTGCTCCTTGGCCAGCCTGGCATCGAACTTGTGCTTCAGAAGCTGGGGATTGCTTCATAGTGCGGCGCTTAACCCCTTGCACCACCAGGGAGGCCCTGTAAATTAAGTTTTATTGGAACATAGTCACACCCGTTTGTTTACATGTTTTCTATAAAGGGAGAGTTGAGGAGTTGCCATGGAGACCATATAGCCCCTAAATCTGAAATATTTACTGTCTGACCCTTCCCAGAAAAAGTTTGCTGAGCCCTGATCTAAATAATAAAACCTCAAATATTTAAAGAAGAACAAAGAACAACCTTAAAAAAATCAAAGTAAATGTTTTTTTTTTTTTCCTAATAGACATGATGTTCAGTATCCCTTGATTGTTTTTACATGCTTTTCTAGTTTAACCTTTGAAATATTTAGCAACCTACAGGCCCAACTTACAAAAAAGGGCTATATATGTGCAGGTGAAAAAATGAATGTGAGTATGAGAGCCTGGCTTATATTCTTTCATTCAGCCTATTACCGGACTTTAGCTGAGGGTGATTCACTTAACCATTTTCTGCCTGTTTTTCATCTTAAAAACCATTGATTTGAGGGCCTCCCCTGGTGGCGCAGCAGTTGAGCCCTTGGCTGTGAGGCTGCCCACAGCCTCTGCAGCGCTGGTTACATCCCCGGCCGCTGGCGAGGGTCCCACATGGCGTGCAGACCTCTCCTGCCGCCCGCGGCTCCCCTCAACAGTGTATTTCATCAGTCTGCCTATTCTGTTCCCGCTCTGGCTCTGGTGAATTCTGTCACCCTCCCACGCTTCTGACTGTACCCAGTGCTTGTATCAATCAATCAATAAATAAATAAAATCTTTAAAAAAAAAACCCAAACAAAGAAAACATTGATTTGAGCCATGATTTGGATTGATGTTAAGACTTCAATGGTACAATTTCAGTATTTTGTATCTCCTTCATACTTCACTACTTTTTGCAGCGCAATGATTGATTTTACATGGGGATGCCACTTTTGTAGGGCCACAGTGTTAACTTCTTCATAACTTTGTTTAGTGGCAATAGATTGTGTTGTTTTTTTAATTGTTTGCTCATTTGCTTTTTATGACCTATATGGATACCCTGGACAAAGAACTTTACTGTCTGTAAAAATTTTTTCTTATTGCTGATTATGTTTGCTTATGGTTTTTCATAATTGTATCCCATGACCATTCTTGGCATTACACAATAGGCCACTGTATCCTTCTGTCTAAAAGTGTGAGCCACAAATCATATGACTTAAATACTCTTTCAAATCCATGCTTGGCTAGAGTCTTTCTTCTACTTTCTGATATTATTTGCAGATTTTTTTTTTCTGACATTATTTGAGATTTTTCTCAGTTATAATTTCTAGTTGACTATCCTTTTTGGTCATTATGTAGGGAATTATAAATATATTGCTAATTTGAGATAGTGAAGTCTAAAGTAGTCATGCCTGGGTTCAAATCCAGACTCTTATTTGCTAACTGATTGGTTATTGTCAAGTTATTTAATTTCCTTAATCTTAGTTTTCTTATCTGTAAATTGTGAATGATAATAGTATCTCATAGGATTGCTGTAAAGGTGTGAAAATATAATGCCATAGAAAATACTTTAGTAAAGTACCTGCTCCCAGTAGGGCTTACATACCTTGTTCATACCATCATAATCAATCATACTATTTATAATGTCAGACTAGACAATTGAGAAAAATATTAATTGTCCATAGAAACATAAACAAAAGCCTTCACTGAAATAAGTTATAGTTAGCATAAGATTCTTTAGCTTGACATAACCTTCCTTTTTAATATGTGCCTCTTAAAAAAAAAGGTAAACGTATATTCTAGTTGAATTTCCTGGAAAACCAAATAAAACACATATATGAACAGTATGATAATAATAAGAAAAAAGGATGTTTTTATAAACAGCCTGAAATAATCCCCAGATGCAATTTGAACAAAGGAAATAAATGGCTGACTTGAGGTCAGAGCAGAATTCCTTAGTATGATTCACTAGACACTGGAAACCCCAGCCCCACATTTTCCCATTCCTTTTTGGTTAGAAAAATTTACATTGAAGTAGCATTATATTCTTGAGGCTACTCTAAAAAAAAAATTCTAAATTTAAATATTTAATGTGTAATCTTGGGGCAGTTCCCAGGTTTTTTTAAGTGGATTCAAAATTTTTGATGGGAGTATTTGACAAAAATTCTTGTAAGTTACCCTTATGACTGAAAATCATTATTTTTGGTTTCTTTATTTGAGTGGCAAATACAGCAGTGGTATAGCATAATTACTTACATGTTGTGACATTGCCATAAGAACTTCTTGATAACAAGAGTAGCATTTTTCATAGTTCCTTATTATCCTCAAAATGAAATAAGGGCGAGACTTCAGGTTCATTCTTAACTCTATTCCAGGTACACTATTACTCATGATCGAAGTGAATTGAGTTTAATTGGCTAATTGTCCGGAAGTGTCTCATTTTGTGAGAACTATGAAAAAAGGGGTAGCTACAAAGTAGTAAAACTATTGCGTCGGTTATGGAGAAACTGTATGTAGGTGTCATGTTTAAAGAGGTTCAGTCTCATTAGACCCCAGTACCCAAAGAGCATCAGTTGCTCTTCACAGAACATTGAATTAGGGTATCTGTTTTCTGTATTTCTAGAACTTCCTTCCTTGTAGTTTGTTGTTTTTACACATGTATTTTATAGATAAAATGTGGGTTTTATACATGTATAAAATATGTACAGAAAAATGTATGTACTAAGAATGTATGTATCTTTTTACTAGCAGTCATAATAGCTTAGCAAACTGGAGTAATAGTGCTAAGAAATTACTATCCCAGATGGGAGGTTTTAATTCACATATCACTACTTATCAGTATCTTAGGAAATCAAAATGGCTGTATTTTTTATGTTTAGTGCCTTCCTTGTGTGTGTGTGTGTGTGTCTGCGTGCGTGCGTGCGCGCACACATGTGTGTTTTTGTCTTAACTGGTAATTTTTCCTCAATGGAATGAATAGAATAGAAAATATCAGAGTATGTTGTACACAATGAAATTCTGTATTATTTCTGTATCTATGATACACACACAATGTGTATTTGTTAGGCTTTGTGGACTTTGACATAATGTATGATCTTGCTGTGAGTTGTGGGTAAAAATAATAAATTTGAAATCCATCATCATAGACTATCTGTTTCCTTGGTAACTGGCCCAGGTTCTTTAAGCTCTCTGTTTTCATAATTGAGAAAATGATACAGATAAATCCATATTAATAACTTTTTTAGAATGTGATAAATAATTTAGTGTCTGAGTGAGTGAGCACTGCCAGAAACTAGTTTGTTGTTGTATGATAACAGTGATAGCAGATTTTTCTCATGTTTTATTATCTGTTATTTGTTTGTTTTGGGGCTTGTATATATTTCCAATCTTTTTATTTTAGAAAATATTGATGCTGATGGACAGGGATTTTGTCAAGGAGGATTCAGCATTGATTTTACTAAAGTAAGTTCTCTTTTAAGACTGAAAGAGATTCAAATCTACCTTATTGTCCAAATCTTGGTTAAAAATAAATTGGTAATACTTTAGCTTCTCTATAACTATTCCTGTTTTATGAAAACAGCTAATTAAAGTGACCCTTGCAATTTGACATTCTTTGCCTCATGTTCTTCCCTCCCTAGTAGACTTTGCTTATTTGAAGTAGACATCAAAATGGGGATAGAGGACAGTAGAGAGTCTTCTCAGTAAATGATAGGTAACTATTATGACTTAATATTAAAATTTCCAGTTAGATAAATCTATAGACTGTTAAAGTTCCCTGCATTCAACTGAAATTGAATTTTCACAAAAGCTATCAATGAAAGCTTTATTGAAATATCAGAATTTAGTTTACAATAAAAGCTGAGACATGTGCTATTTGCCATCTGTTTTGTGCCTGTATGTATCAAGCTGATGATAAAGCAATTTAATCATTATAAGAAATCGCATATGGGCCTCCCCTCGTGGTGCAACAGTTGAGCGCTGGACTGCAAAGCTGCCCTCAGCCTCTGCAGCACCAGTTTGATCCCCTGACACTGGTGAGGGTGCCACATGGCGCAACAGACCTCTCCTGCCACGCCCTCTGCTCCCCTCAGCAGTGTATTTCGTTGGTCTATCTGTTCTGTTCCCCGCTCTGGCTCTGGTGAATTCTTTCACCCTCCTGCACTTCTGACTGTACCCAGTGCTTGTATAAATAAATAAATCTTTTAAAAAAAAAGAAATCTCATATGCAGGGCTCTTCATATTTTTAACTAAACTAATGTGCTCTTTAGAGGTGACAGTTTTTACTAGCTTTCTAAAATAAGAATTTCATTTATAATTTAAGGGTAAAATTTCTTAAGTAATTTTGTTTGTATAATTTTTTATTGTGTGTGTATGATTTTTGGTAGAGTATGAACATTTTGAATGTCAAATTGAGCATATTTATTCTTCCTAAAGAAATCTAAAAAATATATTATTGCTTGATTACAAGTAGAACTTGGAAAGCTTAACATGGCTTTCTTAGAGAGTGGAAGCAAGAAGAGTGCATTAAATGTATGAAAATAGCAGAAACTACAATCATGTGATACACAAAAACTAATAAAGTATTTTTAATTTGTTAAAATTTTGTATTTTGTCTTTATTAAACTTTTCTAGACTTATAATTAGTTAACTTTCCTTGCTAAAGTAGTTGATTTTTTTTTTTACTTAATTTGATATTACATTACTCATAATTCAAAATTTAAGGAGGCAGAACAAGGAGAGATAAATTATAGTAGTTATTGGGTTTAAACTTGCATTATGTGTTAAAGGAGGTGTTAAATTATTTTTTAAAAAGTGTTCTTTTAAAAAAAGTGTTTTCTTTATACCTGTATACAACTATAACTCCAGAAATAATCTCATACCCAAAAGTCATTTCTATATTAACTGTTCATGTTCTTAAGCTCATTTCTGAAAAGAATATAACATTTTTAAAGAAGACAACTTAGAAGTACCTATTACATAACCAGTGCAGGAGATTGTCGAAAGATCTATGTACATTTTTCTCTTTCTTTCCCCCAACAAGAAGATGTTTTCAAAATATTGTCCATGAAACTGAGTAACTTAAATTATTCATTTATAATATGTCACAAATATAAGAAATGCTACACAAGTGTAATAAATATAAAATATATCCTGAAAAATTCACCTGCTAACTTCATTCATGTTTAGTTCTGCAAGATACTACAAGTAGTTTTCCTTTTGCAGAAAGTTCTTTAGTGATTATTAGAAAGAGAATTTGTCTCATGTTGTTCCAAACCTTATACACAAAATTAAGAAGTGATGTTTTATCCATTATTGTAACCCCATAATACTTTGCTATAGTATTTTGTATCAAGTATACAAAACAACTGAGAGCCACAGTGGAAGTGGGGAGGGGAAATAAATAAATAAATATGCTTTTATATTTTAATATAATAAGTGAATGCAGTACAACTTTAAAATTTTATTGTATTGCCATTTTTGAATGGTGTAATTAAAATCATTGAAACTGAGTTAAGGGAACTTTAGATGTACTTGTTTGCTTTATAATATATATATAATATAATTACGTATCTATATGTACCTTTTGTGTGGACTGCATTACTTTCAGTTTTTAAAGCTACTTGTTTTTAAATTTATATATCTTTTTGTTCTTTGCATCTAGGCTGACCGAGTACTCCTTGGTGGTCCTGGTAGTTTTTATTGGCAAGGTAAGTTACTATCTTTTTAAATTCCCCAATAATGACTGTGCCTCAGACTTACCTAGCTTATTACCTATGTACAGAGTATAATTTGTTACATATATTCCTAGTAGAAAATAAACTGATGGGCCTCCCCTGGTGGCACAGCGGTTGAGCACTGGGCTGTGAAGCTGCCCGCAACCTCTGCAGCACCGGTTCGACGGTTTGATCCCCGGCCACCGGGGATTGAACCAGCGCTCCAGAGGCTGCGGGCAGCTTCGCAACCCAGCGCTCAACCGCTGCGCCACCGGGGAGAACCAGAGAGTATTTTCTTTTAATAAGACTGAACTGAGTAGGTTTCCCCCTGGATAAGTAAGAATAAATTTTTCCATGTATGTTAGTCTATGTAAGAATAGAGAAAATTATGATAATGTTTTATTTTGAAGAAATGATAAATTATTCTTTGATTCAAGAACTATTTATTATTTTTTTCCTATATGTTAGTTACTATTTAGACTCAGAGATTGAGTTGTGACTCAGAAGTGCTTTGCCTTTAGACCCAATTTGGACAAATTGGAATAGTAATGAACACTATGAATTTCTTTCTAAAACAGCAGAATAAAGAGATTATTTTCCCCATGTTGTGGAGATGGCATTTGGCAGATCAGTCAACCTGTCTTGGGACAGTTAGCAGTCTCACATTTATGTAGCCATCTTGATTTCTTATCTCCCTGACGTGGGTGTACAGAAAAGTGAACTCACCTACATGGCTGCTTCATAAAGGTGTACAAATAATTCATTTAAAAAATCAGTTGAATCAGTTATTTTTACTATAAAGGTAAACATATTTAGTTATTTCAGTAGATTTTTTAAGTTTTAATGGATTTGGTTGTTAATAATCCTTGATTTTTATTCCATTTAGTTATTTTAGTAAATAAAGTCTGTAATCTTTGTTATTACAAGAGAATAATTTTTAGTACTACTTTTAATAGACATAATTAAAAAATAGTATGAAATCTGATATTTGCTAGTTTCTTTCATGCAAAGGCCATTCATTGTCAGTATAATAAAGTTTTCATTAGAAGTTTATTTATTTTATATTTATATTTCAGGTCAACTCATTTCGGATCAAGTGGCAGAAATTGTTTCTAAATATGACCCCAAAGTTTATAGCATCAAGTATAATAATCAGTTAGCAACTCGTACTGCACAAGCCATTTTTGATGACAGTTACTTGGGTAGGTAAAAGCAAAATACCAATTCATTTTATGGAGTTATAGAGTATTTGTCCTTATTTGTCCTTTAGGAATTTCTTATGTGAAATAGATTCAGATTACTTTGAAATATAAGGGACATTCAATTGAAAATTGTTATTGACTACTTAGGTTATGTTTATTTCAATAATGAATTTAGCAAGAGTTATTATTTAAACAAAGGTAATAATAGATAACCTCTAAGATATGCTTACTATGTTCTAGACATTGTTCTAAGTCTCTAATACGGTGTTTCCTTATTTAATCTCACAATAAGTCTATGGAAGTACACAGTTATCAATCCCACTGTATACATTAAAACAAAACAAAAACTGAAATACAGAGAGACAAAATAATTCTCCTATAGCCACTCACTTATCCCTTGCTCTTCTGAGAGTCGAACCCAAGTAGTCTGACTCCTGACTGTGTTAAAATACAGTTTTGGTCTAGAATGTGTGAACTTGTTCTCTCTTTGAATTTTTTTTATTCATTAAACCAAATATGCATGACAGAAGCATCATTTTGCTATTTGAGAAAATCTGCTATATTCTCCTTTTGCAAATGTATCCTGTTTTTAGCTGACACCTTTGCAAAGTTAACAAAACAGTCTTATTTTTCTAATCGAGATGTACTTTTTGAGTTAATTAACTCAATTATTTTCTTTAAGATGCATTTGTCATATACACACGACTCTCGCACTCGTAAAGGACATACATAAAATTACATAATTAAAGGAGTTACTTGAAAATATTTTCCAAGAACCCTTGGTCAGGAAGTATTCTGAATGACAGGCTGGCCTGACTACACCTTTGCTTCCCTGTGTAGGTTACTCCGTGGCTGTTGGAGATTTCAATGGTGACGGCATAGACGGTATGATGCACGTGAACCATATTTCATCCTTTAAAGAAAATTTAGGCTAAGCATTTGAAAGAAATGGCACTGAGAAATTTCAGGAATGCGTGAGTTTTGGACTATACCAGGAGAAATGAGGGAGATGTCAATCAATGTGTTGATGACAACTACGTCTCTGTTCAGCCTCCTCCAGCAGCTGCTAACTCGGGACCTTTCTCTTTCCTTCCTGCCTCTTTCCAGCCCCCAGTGCTTTCAGTTATTTCTTTAACTCCTTCCTTATTTTCAGCAGATTCAGTCCTTTTTGAAAGTCTTTGTGTCTTCTTTCTTTAGGCGTAGTCTGTAATCTTCTGGGCTCTCATGTGGTTAGCTCATCCTCTCTCTATCCAGCTGTCTTCCTTCCCAATTCAATCTGAGACTCACAGAGTTGACCAGTTTTTGATCAATGTCTGTGCCACCCCCACCCCCACCCTATTTCAGTTTGCTGAGCATTTTTTTCATTACTATAAATACTACTTTTCTTCATTCTTGGATCACTTTATCATATCTGTTGTCTTTTTAACAAGATTACAAAAGCCTTGAGGATGACATGCTTGCCTTTATGTCAGGGTCCTCAAGAGTCTTGCCACATTTTGCAAAGATTTAATTTTGTGGTTAGAAATGGTGGAGTTATTTATTATGAGGTACCAGTATTTCCTACTGAGAGAATAAAACAGTTTGTTGATATAGCCACTTCCTCTTATGGTTTCCATTATTTGTCTTAAAAATGAGTAATTATGTTTTTTTCTTTTCAGACTTTGTTTCAGGAGTGCCAAGAGCAGCAAGAACTTTGGGAATGGTAAGAAAGTTAAAAGGTGTTTTTAAAAATCTCTGGGTTCTTTTATATCATGTATTTTATCTACTTTTGTTTTTCCTTCACAGGTTTATATTTATGATGGAAAAAATATGTCCTCTTTGCATAATTTTACTGGTGAGCAGGTATGCTTTTAAAATTTTTTTCTACTTGCATTTTCATATCAGCATTTCCTAATGTTTTAAAACTTTGACTCTATCTTAATGGTTTAATATTCAATATATAATGAGTGTTATTATGAATTTTAGTTTTATATTTAGTACTACATATATATAACTTAGACTTTACATACTTTACCTTTTTTTTAACCAAAGTAATTTGTTTTAGCAAAGTATTTTGTAATTTCATGTTATGCCTTTTTTTGGGGAAATGTACAATCAACTTACGCATATACATGTCACCTCCACAAAACCACAACTTCCTTTTTCTTTGCTGTTGATATTTTCATTTTATTAGATGCAAAATAGCATGGCACAGGTGTGTGTGTGTGTGTCATAGATATTACAAGTAAACTATTTGTAGCACATGAAATAAAACATTCTTTAAGGGAAAAAGTAGTATTTTTAGGTATTAGATTTTCTCTACAAGGCAAGTATGGGCATTTTGAAATATTCTGTATTGTGTGTCTCAGAACTGGATGATATCATTAGTAATGATAAAGGAAAATCCAGTCAGTAGCTAAAGAAAAAAGTCTTAGTTTGCAGATCAGGGTTTAAAGCACTTTTTGTTTGGTGATTTCTGGGCTTTGTGAGATGATGATAGCTTGAGGAAGTAGACTCAAGGTCCAGGAATTCTTTTCCATTTATGAAGGAGTCAGAGTTAGTGCACAGCGTGGAATGACCAGCATTTGACAGGCGATTAGGGTGTAGGTTGGTGTGGTTATCCTGTTTTGCTGTTGTGATGACTTCACCCCAAGCAGCTTCTCCTGGCAGATGCCTATGCATGTCTCTCAGTCATGTTCTCTGCTGTCCACGATGAATTCCTTGTTGTTGCTCAGCTTTTGGGTTGGGGTAGGGGACAGCGGGAACATGGGCTTTGCATTTGGACAGACTGGGGCTCTCCATTCTCCATCGTATTTAGACAGGATATTTACCCTTATTAATACAGGTTGCTCTTTTATTAATTGGTTGCTCTTTTATTAATACAGGGATACTGACAGTGTCCTTGTGTCCTCTGAAAGGACAGTGTCCTTTCAAACAATGACCAGGACAAAATTATCTCAGTAAATGTCATCCTCTCTTTACATTTTCAGGTCAAACACTTGGAGAGACTAATGCCAAGAATAGTATACTGTTAAATTCCAGTCAGTATATCAACATGGTACCCCAGACACAATACATTTTATTATATGCTCTCTGACCTCATTATTGAATATAGAGTGTGCCTTTCATTTCCTCTGTTCTACTGTATCAACCCCCAAGAAGATGATGTAGGAATTTCCCTTCTCATTCCCTCCTGATAGCTTAGCTAATCAAATTATAGAAGCTTTGCTAACTTTCCTTTACTTAATTTGTTGACTCATTCTTTGCTTTGGTTTACTTTTAATATGTCATCTCTCCTAATTTTGTTTTGAATGTTGGGTTCTGTTTACAACTTTCCTTTTTTCACATTTTATTTCCAGTCTGTGATGACCAGTAGTCTCCTGTGATAGGAGAGAGGCTTTTCCATCTCCACTCACATATTAAGGATGTAATAAACCCAAATACATTTGCACTGTGTGTGTTGCCAAACCAAAATCTCTAGCAAGTAATTGAGATAGAAGACAAAAATGAAGTTTGTTCCATGTCTTTCTAAGGAATAATTTTTAAAACACTTTTCTATGCCCTCTCGCATTTTCACCCCACCCACTCTGCCTCCCTCTCCCCTTCCCTTCCTGGATATCTCAGATCTATGATTAGCTTTTAAAGTTTGTCTTTGTCTGACCTTTTGTTTGGTTTCTCTTTCTTCCACATATAAGTGAAGCTATCCAGTATTTATCTTTCTTCTGACTTATTTCACTTAGCATGATCCCTTCCAGCTCCATCCATGTTGCCACAGATGACATGGGTTTATCTTCTTTGATCCTTGAGTAGTATTCCATTGTGTATATACCACACATTCTTGGTCTATTCATCTGTTTTGGGGCATTTAGGTTGTTACTATATCTTAGCTATTGTAAATAGTGCTGAAATAAATTATAGGACTGCAAATTTCCTTTTGAATTAATGTTTTTGTATTCTTTGGGTGGATACCTAGCAGTGGAATTGTAGGGTCATATGGCACATCCATTTTTAGTGTTTTGAGGAACTTCCACACAGCTTTCCATGGGAGATGGGCCAGTCTACATTCCCACTAACAGTGTAAGAGGGTTCCTTTTTCTCCACACTGTTGTCTGTTTTTTGTTGTTGTTGTTGTTGTTGTTGTTGTTGTTGTTTGATTTTTTTTTTTTTTTGATATGGGCTATTCTCACAGGTGTGAGGTGGCATTTCATTGTGGTTTTGATTTGCATCTCTGTGATAAGTGATGATGAATATCTTTCCATATGCCTGTTGACCATTTGTATATCTTCTTTGGAAAAGTACCTATCCCATTTTTCCTTTCTGTCATTTGTTTTTGTTGAATTGTATGAGCTCTTTGTAGATCATCCATATCCGCCTCTTATCATATGTTTAGTGTGCAAATATTTTCTCCCATCAGTAGGGTGTCTCTTTATTTTGGTTACTTTCTCTTTGACCATACAGAAGCTTTTTAGTTTGATACAGTCCCAGTTGTTTATATTCTCCATTGTTTTCCTTCTTGCTAGAGATGCATCTTTAATGATGTTTCTGGGTTATGTCATGGAGTGTTTTGCCTACATTTCCATGTATTTCATGGTTTCAAGTCTTACATCCAATTCTTTTATCCACTTCAAGTTAATTGTCATGTATGGTGTGAGGTAGTGGTCTGGTTTCTTTCTTTTGCATATGGCAGTCTAATTTTCCCAGCACCATTTATTGAAGACACTTTCCTTGTGCCAGTGTATATTATTTGCTCTTTTGTCATAGGTTAGTTTTCCATATATGTGTGGCTTTATTTCAGTGCTCTGAATTCTATTCCATTGGTCTGTATTTCTGATTTTTTTCCTGTATATTTGAAATCTGGAAGTATAATACCCCTATTTTTTGTCAGGAAAGCTTTGGCTTTTCAGGGACTTTTGTGGTTCAATATGAATTTCAGCAATATTTGTTCCATTTCTTTGAAGAAGGCCATTGAAATTTGTATTGGGATTGCATGGAATTTGTAAATTGCTTTGGGTCGGATGGCTATTTTGATAATGTTCATTCTTCCAATCTATGAGTAGGGCATATTTTCCATTTCTTTGTGTCATCTTCTATTTCTTTTAACAGCATTTCATGGGTTAGGTATATTCCTAGGTATTTAATTATTTTGGGGGTATGATTTTAAATGGGATGGTTTTCTTAATTTCATCCTCTTTAGGTTGATTGTTTTCATATAGGAAAGCTACTGATTTTTGTGCACTGATTTTGTTACCGGCCACTTTACTGAACTGGTTTATTGTTTTGATTAGTTTTTCCATAAATTTTTTAGGCATCCATATATATTATGTCATATGTAAATAATGATAACTTCTTCTTTCCCAATTTGGATTCCTTTTATATCTTTGTCTTGCCCAATTGCTCTAGCTAGGACTTCCAATGCTGTGTTGAGTAGTAGTGGTGAGAGTGATCATCCTTGTCTTGTACAGAATCTTAGCAGAAAGGCTTTCAGTTTTTCACCATTAAGAATGATGCTAGCTATGGGTTTGTAATAAATAGCTTTTATTATCTTAAAATGTGTTCCTGTTATCGTAAGTTTTTAGAGATTTCATCATAAGTGAATGTTGAAATGCTCTCTAAGCATTTATTGATATGATCATATGGTTTTTAGCTGTCTTCTTGTTGATGTTTTGAATTATGTTGATTAATTTTCAAATGTTGAATCATCCTGTGTCCCTGGAATAAATCCCACTTGGTCATGGTGTATAATCCTTTGTTGGGTTTGATTTGCTAAGATTTTATTGAGGATTTTAACATCCGTGTTCATTTAGGGAGATTGGCCTGTAGTTTCTTTTCTTGTGTTGTTTTGTTTGATTCTGATATTAGTGTGATGTTGGCCTCATAGAATGTTTTTGGAAATAGTCCTTCTCTCTCAGTTTTCTGAAGGAATTTAAGCAGGATAGGTATTAGTTCATCATTCAAATTTTGTTAGAACTTGCTTGTGAAACCATCTGGTTCTGGGCTTTTGTTTTTTGGAAGAGTTTTGATTACCAAACAGTAATTTCTTTAGAGTAATTGTAGTTTCACAAATGGAGAGCCAATTATGACCTACTAATAATTATTATCTATTATCTTTACTGTATAATTACCCAGTTATAAGTTCTTAGGGTTAATTAAAATGTCTGTCTGTGACATGTCCTTTTAGGATGTCTGTGGCTGGTTTGTTTTGGGTTGTGGAGCAGAGAGATAATAGGTGAGGCCTGGAAGGAATATTGACTGTACTTATATGGCATGTGTTGAAGACATTGAAATGACATACATAGAATATATTTTTGCCCATAAATCTTTGAAACTAAACCTCATTACCTAATTGTCATTGTGTTGGTACAGTAAAAGAAATTTAGATTGAAATACCATATGCAGAGGACAAAAATAACCATTTATATCTATACATATACTACAAATATTAATTATCTAAACTAATTGGATCAAATGTAAGCATTTTGTTTTCATCTTATTATCCAGATGGCTGCATATTTCGGATTTTCTGTTGCTGCCACTGACATTAATGGGGATGAGTAAGTTTAAAAAATATTTCTGGAGACAGTTTTCCTCTTGTGTTTATGAACACTCTATAAAAATCTAAACATTTTTTTCTTCTGTTTCTATGTCCTCTTCCTGCAAACTATCTATTTAAGGAACAATTTGAAGTAGTCTATCACAAATACTAGAAAACCTCTATATTGTCATAATTTCTTTTAGTAGCTTTTAAAATATGAAGGAATAAAGTACTGTTAAAATTTACTCGTAGTTTTTCTTAAAAGAATTGAAGCAGTTTGATTTTGAAATGATCGTTTTATGCTTCAATGTGACTATGAGAGATATATGAAGAGTGAAACTAAGTTTTATTAAAATAAGTTTTAATAAGAAACAGAATAATTATTTTCAGGTAGAATTTGATATTGGTTTGGTAAAAATGATTCTATTGTTAGTTATGCAGATGTGTTTATTGGAGCACCTCTTTTCATGGATCGAGGTTCTGATGGCAAACTCCAAGAGGTGGGGCAGGTCTCAGTGTCTCTTCAAAGACCGTCAGGAGACTTCCAGACGACCAAGCTGAATGGTTTTGAAGTTTTTGCAAGGTTTGGCAGTGCCATAGCACCTTTGGGAGATCTAGACCAGGACGGCTTCAATGGTAAGATCAAAAAGCTAAGCAAGTGTCAGTCTGATTTTTTTGTATCCACTGTGGGATAGTCCTGTTCCCTTGTCTGTAGAAGTTCACATGGGTATGCCTCCTTCCTGGAAAGAATTGAGTGAAAGTGAGTGACTTAATAGGTTTAATGACAGGTTGCTCTTTTTCCTTAAAAAATAAGAGCAATATTATTATTACTGTTATTATTATGCGTGCAACCTCAAAGCACAAGACAGTGGTTATTTCTGACAGGAACCTGCAGTCCCAGGGACCTGGAGCCAGCCTGCTGATTTTGTTTCTGTCTGTTTAGTGGCAGCGCCCTCTGCTGTTCATTTGAATACATGTGAAAAAATGCTCTCCGGCACATTTGTCAAGGCAGTGCTGACTCCAATGCATAGCTCAGAGGTTTTACTTGCAAAAAAAAGGTCAAAGCCCATCATTTTATAATAGCCCCATTTAATAATTTAATTAATTGCTTTAGATACCTTTTTCAAAAAGGGTTTTTTAGTAGAGAATGAAATATAGATTACAAATTACCAAAAGAATACCATTAAAACCCTTTTTAGAGAATTGGGAGACCTTTTAGGCTGCTTTAGGGGTTCAAGCAAAGGATGAGAGTGACTTGTCTAGGGTGATAGCAACAGAGATGGAAATAAATGGACCTATTTGTAATTTATTTTAGGGCTTGAAAAGGTCATAGTGATCATTTGCTGCTTGTTTTTTTTTTTTTTTGAAGAATTTCACGTTATTATGGGTGGGAGGAAGAACTCAAGTTTTTTTTTTTTCCTATTTGAAGAACTATTACAGTTAGTTTAAAGAACAGATGAAGGATGATAAGGATGATGTCTTTTAAAAAAGACACACACATGCATGTATACACTTTCACATACATGGTATGCATATTTTAAAATGTCTGATACTATTAATAATCAAAGAAATGAAAATTAACATACAGAATATACCAAAATATATAGAATATACCCAATTACAGAATATACCAAATCATATCTTCCAGTCTCTTTTTTAATACTTATTAATTAAAACAACATGCTTTATGCACTGTTTATAGCTTCAAATATCAGAAATGTTTCCCCATGTTATTATTCTTTCTAAAATGACATTATGGCATTTTCACCTTTCATTTTTCTTTTTTTGATTTATTGTTTCAGTCTTATTTCAAAATAATATTCAAACATGAGACTACATTATTTTTATCTAATGTTACTTTTTATTGAGGTAACAGTTTATGGCACTGTAAATGATTTAGATATATAGTTTGGTGTTATTTTTATTTTTAAGAATTTCACACTGATATTATTTTAAAATAAGTTGATCAAGATCGAGGCTGAAATCAGAAGGTTTAATTTCTGAACCAGATTGGCTTTAGCTCTGAAAAAAAAAATAGAAACCATGTACAGATAAATTAACTTAGAATTTTGAGAGCTAGAATGAAGCCTCAAATGATTATTTTTAATGTGTCCCCTTCTACCTGTTTCAAAGTTGAGGCATTTGAGGTTCAGAAAAGTCAAGTGACTTGTCTAAGGTCAGATACAGAATATCTGACTCCATATTAATATCATCTCTAGCCAGTTGCTTGAATATCCTTGAATTTGATCATTGCTTCTTAATGAAGAGTATGCTACTGAACTTTGAATCAGTATTTACCGTGATGAATGAGTCTATAAATACTAAGATCTCTCCATATAAATAATAAGTACTAAAACTTCTCTTCACCCTTGCCCTCCTTCGCCTCTCTTCTACCTCCTCTTTTTCCTTCTCTCTTCTCCCTTTACTTTTCCCCACAGATATTGCAATTGCTGCTCCATATGGGGGTGAAGATAAAAAAGGAATTGTTTATATTTTCAATGGAAGATCGACAGGCTTGAATGCAGTACCATCTCAAATCCTTGAAGGGAAGTGGGCTGCTCGGAGCATGCCACCAAGCTTTGGTTATTCAATGAAAGGAGCCACGGATATAGACAAAAATGGATATCCAGGTGCTTTTCTAGAATACATGGAGCTCTATGATTTTTCTGTACTAGTAGCAAAGAGTACATTATTGCTCTATTAATTTGTTATAAATCATTTCAATCCACTATTTCAAGTATATTAAATCCCTGCTGTTGATTTTCAAGGTATTCTTCTCATTATTGAAGGGCTTAGGGAGCAAAGCCTGCTTTACTTCTTGGGAACTTCCAATGTAAAGCACTCTGAATTTCTTCTTTTATTGTCTTGAAGTCTGTAATGAAATGTGAGAGAAAAACAATGAAATGTGAAGAGCTAAATGCTCATTCTAAGTTTTTAAATGTCAGTGGTCAATTTTTTTATTCTAGAATTTTTATGGACTTGACTAGTCATTGTGATTTTTAAAAAATATTTCATTTAATTCTTCCATTAAAGACTGTGAAGTGTATAAGCTAGCTCAGCTCATTACTATGTCATTTTCCTGGATGAGAAAACAGATTGAGAAAGGTAATTTACCCAAAGTTGCTTACTGGTTTGAGCTAGTATAGTAAGTGAGGACTTTTTCTTGTTCTTAATACTTTGGAGTATTAGAATGGTTCTAGGATCATGATGAATCTATTCTTTAAATGAGAGGAAATGCAGAAAACTTAGATTGTCTTTTTGTTGAAACAGTTACCATGAACAATATATCCAAGTACATTGAAGTGCTTTTAGAAATAGCACATGAAGTTGATTCTAATCTATGTGTTGTTTCAAGACATTATTATTATTTTGAAAGATTTTATAATGCAATATATTTATTATAGAATACAGAATATATCAAATCATATCTTCCAATCTATTTTTAATGCTTATCGAGTAAAACAACATGCTTCATGCACTGTCTATATCTTCAAATATCAGAAATATTTCTCTATGTTATTAATTATTCTTTCTAAGCACAGATTTGATGTTTGTCTTTCTGTGAAATAACTATCATGTCTTATTTGACCTTACTTGCAGACATCATAGTCTGATATATAGTTCTGGTACATACCTCTGATTACTTCCTAGGACAAAAATATAAATTTGCTGTGTCAAAGATATGCGCTTTTTTTTCTTTAAGACACTTGATATTCCCTCCAAATTAAAGTTTTCCAACCTTTTTAAGCACTCATTAGCAGTAAGTGAATGATCATTTTCCCACATCTGCCTATACTGAGTGTCGCCTTTTCTTCTTTTAAAATAAGTTTTACCATAATATGTGGAAATGATATCTTAAATTTTTTATTTTTTTATTATTAGTGAGAGCAAGCATTTTTGTTTGCATTTGTATTTACTTTTGTGAATTTCCTTTTTATGCCTTTTTCCCTTTTCTGTTGTTATTATTTTTCCTCATTTTTTCCCTGAAAAACTGTATGAATACCTTAAATATTGATGATAACATCTCCTTAATTCCTGTCATATTTGCTTTTGGAGAGTCAAGAAGTTCTTTTTTTTTTTTTAATTTTATTTTTATATTCCCCACGCAATTGCAACCCTCTTATTTTGACCCCAACCTCTCCTTTCCCCACCCAAGACATTCTTAATTTTTATATAATAGAGTCGTCCTGTGTTATGGTTTCTCATGTTCTGTTCTGCCTAGAATCGTCCTCCTCAAATTTGGCCTGGTGTCCTGTGAGATAGAGCTCTGATTCCATTTTTTTCCTAATGGTTAAATAGTTGTACCAGCTACTTTAAAAGACTAATCAGGCATTATGTTTCTGCTGATTTGAATGTTATTTGCTATCATTCTCAATATATGTAATGTACCTTTCTGGTTTGGTATTGTATTGGCTACATAATTAAATTTAAGAAATACATTTTTATGATGAAATATAAAATCCACAGGCATAAGCATCTATATTGCTTTTTCCTTGGGGCTGTGTGTGTGTGTGTGTGTGTGTGGTGGGGTATACTCTTCCTTCTTGTTTTGGTTTTTTTTTCCTGAGTATCTGTTAAAAAGATCTTGGCAGTGGAAATGAAAGACTAGTTTTATGATGAACATTTGCCATTGGTGGTAGCTTATTTAGAACTTATTGAAGAATGGTTTTGAGACTATGTCTAAATCGGAATTGAATGTTTTATAGAGTGGTATATAAATTTTGAAAACCACTACTATTAACATGCCTTTTCTATTCTGTTTAAGACTTAATTGTGGGAGCTTTTGGTGTAGATAGAGCCATCTTGTACAGGTAAGCTTGTTTCTGTATCTTGTAACATAGGATTCATTCTGAATTATTTGAAAGTTTTATAGCCAGTTTAATGTTCTTGAAATAGTGCTAATTTTTTTTTAATTCAAAATTTGCTATAGGCAAATAGTATTTACATAAGGAGATCTAAAGTAAAGAAGGCTATGGATTTTTTAATTAGAAAAGCATTCAGAACTTTCCCTCTTTGTTCTTTAAATTATGTTCAGAGTTATTCATCTCTGTGTTTTAAATCTCTCTTTAAAAATTATTTGAGCTTACATTTTCCTCTAAGGGGCAAGAAATTAACTTGGTGTGTGTCACAACATTCTGTGTTCACAAGGACACTGTGGAACAACTTGAAAATGAATGTTTTAATTCAAGCAATATATATATATAATCCACCTATGTTTCCTGGCTTCATATATGTTCCCAGTGATTCTCGGTGTTTCATCAATTCCTCATGCCTTGGAATCATCTGGCACTCCCAAGAGATTAAGCTGTTTACACTTCTATGGGCTCTGTTTATACATAGCAGGAAAAATAGTGCTGGATAGTGGGGTTTGTGGTGGGCCAAGCTGATTGTAGCTCTTGGGCAGCATGTGCTTACACACCAGGATTTATCATAACTGAGACATCACACTCACCTGGCCTACTATGTTTTTGTTCAGAATTTAAACCTACATAACTGAATTTTTTTAAAGATTTATTTATTTATGCAATTCAAGAGGTGGGGTGTGTGTGTGGGAGGATGAACAGATTCACCAGAGACAGAGTTGGGGAGCACAACAGGCAGATTGACTGAAATACACTGCTGAGGGGAGGAGAGGGTGAGACAGGAGAGGTCTGCTGTGCCATGTGTCTAGGAACTGAGCTCCTGCTGCAATGGCTGCCTATGGCTTCTTAGTGCTGAGACTTAACCCCTTGTGCCACCAGGGAGGCCCCTTATCTGAATTTTGGAGAACTGTGTTTCTTTTAATTTAGTGCTTCAGTTTTTAAAATTGCTGTCAATGAACTATTACATGCATGTAGTAAAAATTCAAATACAAAAAGGATATATAATAAAAACAAATACCTTCCCTTACACCAATTTCTATTTCATTAGTATATTGTACCAGAAATGTTCTACACATTAAAAAATCATGCCTGTGTGTTGTGTGTGTCAATGTGTATGTGCCCATCCTTTGTACATTGTGTTTTTTTTCTCATACCACAATTATATCTTGGATGTAAAGAGGTCATTCCATTAGGTAGATATCCTACACTTTGTTTAACTATTCTTCTATAATAGACTGGATTCAAATGGCTGGTACTGTCCTGCTTTGCCTGGATGCAGGGATTTCCCAGGAATGTGGGACTTTTAGCATTAAAATCAAAACAGTCCTCTAGCAAACTAGAAATGCTGGTCATTCTTTGTTGAGATTGTTTCTGCTCTTTTTGCTATTATAAACAATGCTTTAGTAAATATTGCTCTGTATATACAGTGAATGTGAAACTAAAATGCTGAGATCAGTCTTTTTTTTAAATGTTTTTTAATCAGGGCCAGACCAGTTATCACCGTAAATGCTGGCCTTGAAGTATACCCTAGCATTTTAAATCAAGACAATAAAACCTGCCCACTTCCTGGGACAGATATCAAAGTTTCATGGTAAGATAGTTATTATTGTTGTGATTATTCGTTCATTGTTATAGAAACAAATGCAAATGAAGGTAGGGACTGAAGTGTTTTCTATGGATATACTATATTTTCATGTCACAGATTAGATTATAGAAATACTGTCCTAAAGATGATAAGTAGAAGACTTATGGAAATATGCTATAAACTCGTATAAATTTTTTTTAATGATGCATGCACAATGAATATGTTCAAAAAAGAACAGGAAAAGCTTGTAAGATCTGAGACCTCATTTAATTTTAGAAAGGCCTATGAACATTTAATTTTTAAAATATCATTTTCAGATTTAATGTCTGTGAATAGCTATATGAAAAATATTATTTTGCTACAATATATTGTTCACTTGTTTCTTTACTAGTTTCTAAAGAGAAATACAGTATTTTGTAAATTTAATGTCTGAATTTTTTTCTTGAATGTTTCTCAAATCTCCGTTATTTGTATGCTACTTTTTGCTATATTGTATGATTTTTGCTTATTTTCATTTTGCCTATATTTATGATCATCTTAAAAGTTTTTTCTTTAAATTGATATTTTAAAACACTTTTTAAAAATTGGGGAAACCAATATTTTTCTCATATTTGTAAAAATAGATCTGAAATTAAAAAATATTGTCCCCCTATGCTGTTAAAATCACCCTGAGTACCCCACTTTGGGAAGCACTGCTCATGTTTCTTGCTCATATAGAAAACTCAGGGAGAATTTATGAAAGAAGATTAGAATAATTGAAATTGGGAAAATTTTACTTCAATAGAGCTAGCTAATGAAAAGATGTTTTCCCTCATTTTGTTTTTCTACTATTATTATTATAGTTATTAGAAATCATTCCTCAAAATTTTATTTCTATCATTGAATTGTGCTAAAAATTTAATAATATTTGCTCTTTGTTTTTACTGATTGCAAGTGAAGTTGTTTTCAAAATTTTGACTTTTGGTTTTACTGCCTTACTTGTCTTCACTCACATTTCATGTCCCTGTGAAGTTGCTAATAATATGCTCATAAATGTGCTAATAATTCAGAGACTTCTCATATACTCATTAGAACAGTAATTTTCACATTTTTTATTATAGCACATAATACAAAGTATATTTTTATCAAAATCCAGTAAACACATGTATGTAATTAAAAGTTTCACAAAATTTTACACTTAATACTAAAGTCATTTAATTAATACTTAAGTTATTTAATTTTTTGGGATTCTGGTCACTAATAACCTATTAATAAATTTTGAGAAGCATTGTTTTAGAGGAGCTTGCTAATTAAAGGAAGATTTTGTGGGGCCTTTTATTAAACAAATTGTTATTTTATATCTGGACTGTCACTTCCCTCATTTCTATTTATCAAAAAGTTCTATAAACTTGAGAAGTGGCTTGGAAATTCTTTTTTGTCCTTTTCTCATAAAGGTACATTGACAGGAAATATGTTAAATCCTCACAGAGTTAGATTATTCTATGTAATTTTATGTTTTAAGAATAATATTAAGGCATAAAGATATAAGTCATCACAATGTAAATGTATATTTGAAATGTGTGAGATTTGGGTAATATTCAAAAATATGTCTGCACTGGATTATCAGATTTGTATATATATTTTATTTTCCTACAGTTTTAATGTCAGGTTCTGCTTAAAGGCAGATGGCAAAGGAGCGCTTCCCGGGAAACTTAGTAAGTGTTCTACTAAGTTTGAAAAACTATTATTTTAATGATGCTGCATAAACAGCTCTTAAAAAATGTTTTAAGATATTTGAATAGTTACTCAAGTAGTTGTTATTGTTTTTTTTTTATTTGAATGTTTTTGCTCAAAGACATTTAAAATTGCAACATCATTAGTTTGTGTGACAACTTTTAAGTAAATTCTGAAATAATACTTTTATTTATTGATATTGTGAACAAAGAAGCCCACGGGATGCTAAAGATGGTCTTCAGAAAATTAGGTGGTTGCCAGTGTGTGATAAATGAACTCCAGGGAAAATGGGTGTCAGTGTTTGTAAGTAGATGATCTGCTAAAAATCTTGGAGAAATCCCCTCCCCCACCTCTCCTATGCCTCCTGCCATGATTTTAGGAACAGAAGGAGTTTAGGAAAGAAGAAAAAGTTTGGCACTAAATTTAACCCAAATAGCAAATTCTGTCTTGACTCTTCCTTTCCAAAAACATGATTTATGTGGTCCTGAGAGCCAGGTAGGAGAGTTAAGTAATTGTTGCCAAGTGTTATCAGTAAGTTAGTGAAGAGTATTGAGAGTAATGATAGAGCAAAGGAAGAGGGCTGAATCTGCTGGGTTTGTGCTTGAAAGTCCACATAGGGTGCAAAACAAGGTCTAACTGGAATACCTGAAGGAAATGAAGGAGCTTGGCATATCCAGAGTTGTATTTTGCCCAGAGAAAATGGCACTTTTCAAGGGTCCTGAGGCAAGAACATGATCATTGTATTTGCAAAACAGCAAGGAGGGTACTGTGAGTGGAACAAAGAACTGGAAGCAAAAAATAACCCTGAATTTTTACCTGAATTTGACATAAATTTCAGCAGTTAGAAAATCTTGGAAAGAGGTTTGTGATGTTAAAGATCTGCACTCATTTCTTTTGAAGAAAGTACTTTTTCTTTTTTTGAAAGATTTATTTTATTCATACAATAGCTGGGGTACAGGCCAGAGGCACAGAAGGGTGAGAGGATTCACCAGAGACAGAGCAGGGACTGGAACAGACAGATAGACTGAAATACACTGCTGAGGGGAGCAGCGGGCGAGACAGGAGAGGTCTGCCTCTCCATGTGGGTTGTTACTGGCCCATGCTGCAGAGGCTGCGAACAGCTTCACAGCGCTGTGCTCAACCCACTGCACCACCGGGGAAAGTACTTCAAGAAGAACTGAGTCTTAGAAGGCAGTGATGCTAGCTAGCAACCCTGCTTTAGACTATCTGCTGTACTTTGATTTTAGGATGATTCTTTATTGAATCATCTGTATTTGGTCATTTACTTCAAGAGTGACCTATTTATCTGATAATTTGATATAGTAGCTTCATTGGAAGTAGGCGCTGTAAGTGATGCAAACTGTTCAATCATCATAATGTTTAATATAATGGTCTGGGTGCATGTCAATAAATATTTTTTCATTCCAATCATCCAGAGTCCTGCTACTGGCATTAATGGTGGAAGGCTTAATTGATATGTATTATACTCCCTGAACTTTCTCCTCTGAGCTTAAAAGAAAAAGCTTCTCCTCTATCTGATACTTGTTTCACTGCCAGTATTGTCTGTTTTCTGGAATTAATATATGATTTTGCATTGAGGATAGTTGGGTTAATTATTTAATTATTAAGCCTTTATTCAGAATATGTTGTTATTTCACTATAATATATAGACATTGTTAATGAATTAGTTAATGAATTAATTACTTTTTAAGGAATAAATATCTCGGTTTATGTGGGAACTCTTGATATCTAGGGTACCTAGGTGTCTGTAAAGATTATAAATTTTTTGATTTGTACAGACTTCCAGGTGGAGCTTCTCTTGGATAAGCTCAAACAAAAGGGAGCAATTCGACGAGCACTGTTTCTCCATAACAGGTCCCCAGGTCACTCCAAGAACATGACCATTTCAAAGGGGGGACAGATGCAATGTGAGGAATTGATAACGTATCTGCGGGTAAGACATACTTTTTTGCTCCATTACGTTTTCTTTTTACTCATTTTCATCTAAGTGATTTTTGGTATTTGTGCTGCCTCAGCGAGCACCATCTGAATGATTTTTATATAAATATTTTCAAAAGGAAAAAAAGAGAAAGATACAATGGAGGAAATCTGACTTTGTACTGTCAAACCTTAGAAGTAGACTCTTCTTCCTGGCAGAGTAGATATTCCAAATGGCCTTTCCACAACAGTGCTACTGAATAAATTATGAGAAACATTTCTTAAATATTGCTGGACTGTCAAAACAGTAGACAAATCTCCAGAGTCCAAAATATAAGCAATCAATTAAAAAATTCTATTGACTAAATCTGACTTGTAAGTAGTAGGCAAATATGTGAGCCAGGATTGCAAGGGAGCTGTGGAGCCTGGGAAGAGAGTCAGCAGTGATTGCAGATACCAGCTCAGCATTCAGAATTGCCTGGGGTCTCCTGCAAGCCATGGGAGTGGCCTGAGCCTCTGCTTGAGATTCAGACCTTTCCATGAAGCTAAAGTGTTCCCAGGACAAAACTGCACCCTAACTCCAGCAAGAGCAAATACAAAATCTCTCTAGAACAGTCTACAATGGGCCCCACAATTTCCACAGATTAAATTCAATGAAGTATGAATTCATTTTAAAAAGTACTAACATTTAAGAAATAGCACAGAATTTAGACCTGCAGAGGCTTCAGATGTTGAAATTATCACCTATGGAATATAAATTTGTATAAATATTTTATTGAAAAAATAAAATTTATTGAAGAAATAAAATGTAATTTTTAACAAATACAAAGAACCTTAGTAGAGACTTAGAATATATAACATAATCAACAAGTTTGATTTAGCAAACCTATATAGAATTTATTACCATCAATTAGTAAAAAATAAAAACTGTGTGTGTCTAAACAAAATTTTAAAAAGTGGAGTTACAGAAAATATGATCTTTGGTCAAGGTATTATTTTTAGAAATCAGTAATAAACAAATTGGGAATTACGAATTGTGAGTTTAAATAACTTACGGATCAAAAAAGAAATTATAGTACAAATTTACTTAGAATAAATCATAATGAAAATACTGTATATTAAAATGTGTGAGATGTCACAGAAGCAAAATATATAGATGAATATATAGCTTTAAATGTTATTTAAATGAAAGATTAAAACTGAAGGAAAGAATAAAAATTATCCACAAAATTTGGAATTGAAAGTTAATTACAGTCAAAGGAGGGATTAAAATAACAGAATATTATGAATAACCTTCAGCCAAGAAATAGGAAAACTTAGACATAACAGAGAAATTCTTAGAAAAATATAATGTAACTGCTGTAAGAAGAAATAAAAAACCTGAACAATCCTATAGCCATTCAAAAAGTAAATAGGGCAGTAAAATGATTTTATAGGCACTGTCCACACAGCTGTCAGGAACAAGACATTCTAATATTAAACTCTTTGGAAGAATAGAAAAGCAAAATACTTCCAGCTCATGTTGTTAACGCTGATGTTAGTGTAGTTGATAGTGTGGCCTATCAAGGATAGTTCACCAGAGGGAAGTTCTTGCCAGTCTTACACAAAGACATAGATATAAAATTATTCAACCAAATATAAGCAAAGTCAACCCAGGAGTTCATAAAAAAGATAAATAGACCAACTTGGAATTATCCTACGTGAGTTAACATTAAAAAAATAAAAGTGCAACTTAACATATGACTAGACAAAGAGAAAAAAAACAGTAATGACTATCTTAATTAAAGGCAACAAAAAACATTTGATTGAATTTCTGGTTTAAACAAGACTAATATTTCAAATTATAACTATGAAGAAATACCATCTTGCTTGCCAATACCTATTAGTTGGTCAAGTTATCAATTGATGAGAACTCTTAAACATTGTTGATGGTGGTATAAATTTTTATTTTTAAAAATTTTCATTTATTTATGCATATGAGAACTGGGGTGTAGGCCAGAGGTATGGGGGTGAGAGGATTTATCAGAGACAGAGTGGGGAGCAGAACAGGCAGATCTACTAAAATACACTGCTGAAGGGAGCAACTGGCAAGAGAGGAGAGGTCTGCTGTGCCATGTGGGTTAGCTTGCTGGCCAGGGATTGAACTCATGCTGCAGTGGCTGGGGATAGTTTGATAGCTGCTGCACCACCAGAGAGGCCCAAATTTTTATGAATACTGGAAAATAATATGGTACTATAGAGCTGACAGTTCTGTTTGCCACTACGTAGAAGAATAATCATTACAACATTTTTCTTGTAATAGTAAAAATAAACAACAAAAAAAATCCAAACAATCAAAAAAAAAAAAAACTGACAGAAGAATAGATAAAAAGATCTGTATTCATCATATGATGAAATATCAGTCAACAATAAAAATTACCCTCCCCTACATGCAACAGTATGGATGAATCTTAAGAACATCGAGCAGGAGCAGGAAGCAAATTACAGAAGAATACATGTGACCTCATTTTTAAATAAATGAAAAAGGAAAAGCAAGCTGAAAAACATATTACTTAGGGACATATACACTATAATAAAACTACTGAAAGCAAGCCAGGAAATGGTGAAGTTAAAATTCAGGATAGAGTTACCTCTGAGAAGGAACACAGGGAGGAAAAGAGAAAGGAGTACATGGATAACTTAAGAGACATCAGGCCCGTTCTAGTTACTGCATTGGGTATGCATTTTGCGTGTTTATTGACATGCCTCATATTTTTATGTGAATCAGATATAAAATAAAACTGATTAAGTGTTCTCATTGAATAACGCTCTTTCACTATCTTAATGTAAATGTGCTTTTTCAGAGAGTTTTGATAAAATCAAATCAGGGAATGAATACATCCAGCATTGTGTTGTGCCCTTATGGATTTCTCTAAATGGTTTTCTGTTATAGGTTGATGTCATTATTAATTCAAAGCTTTTCCATTTCTAGGATGAATCTGAATTCAGAGACAAACTCACTCCAATTACTATTTTTATGGAGTATCGACTAGATTATAGAACAGCAGCCGATTCAACGGGGTTGCAACCCATTCTTAACCAGTTCACTCCTGCCAACATTAGTCGACAGGTACTGTACTATCTCACTTTATTGCTAATTTTATACGTTAGCCCTTTTTTGAGGTCTTACAATTCCACATTTTTAAATATCATAAGGAACAGCTACTTAGTCAAATACGCCAGCGAGAAAGAAATCTGAATTTTTGGGTCAGAGATAATTAAATCCACTTAGAACTTAATAGTATGCAGAGGAAGATAGGGTACCATTTTATATAGACATATAACAGTAAAATAATTCACAGAATACAACTGTGTCCATTTATTTATATTGTATTTTTGTATTTTGTTGAACAAGTTTTATATCTGTTACTTTCATTAAATAATAGTTTATGTATCATAAATGTACATATATAGTACATAAATAATTCTTTTCATAAAACAAAATAAAAATCACAAAGATTGTATTATAGTATTTTAGAAAATTTATGAATAACCCATGTATTATTTTTTATTTATTGTGGTTATACAATATTATGTGATTAATAAGTTAGTAATGAACATGTGAGCCTCTTAGGGTCTATTACTCAATTTTATTCCTTTTTTTAAAGTATTTTAAAAAATTATTTAATTGTTACTTGTCCCCTTGCATATAGGAATTATAATTATTTTCTCTTTATAGTTTTAGAATTTCTTGAAAATCATATTAACATTAGGATTACTTTTGATTTACTTACTGCAATCACCAATCTTTAATATCAACACGGTTTTAAAGTCAGCTAATCAAGTAGGCTAACTTTGAAACCCTTTGAGGAAAGTAATAATTTTAGTAATATTTGTCTTCCTTTTTTCCTTCCTCTGCTCTCATTAAAATTATTTGAATCTTTTGTTTCCTTTGTGGCCACATTTGTTTTAGCAATGACATTGCTTTTTTTTTAAAGATTTATTTATTTATGCATACAAGAACTGTAGTGTGGGCCAGAGGTTGCAGAGGGTGAGAGGATTCACCAGCGACAGAGTGGAGAACAGAACAAGTGGATTTACTGAAATACACTGCTGAGGGGAGTAGGGGCAAGACAGGAGAGGTCTGCTGAGCCATGTGGGTCAGCTCCCTGGCCAGGGATTGAACTCCTGCTGCAGTGAATAGCTTCTTAGTGCTGAGACTTAACCCTTTGAACCACCAGGGAGGCCCCAAGTTTAGTACTTTTTGCAGGAAGAGGTTTTTTTCCCTCCCTGACCTCCATTTATTTATTCAAATATGTATTAATTATTACTGTGTGTAAGATGTTAGATATATAACTATAGATATTTGGTTCTGTGATCACGAAGAACATTACAGTGTGCTTTTCTATTTCTGAAACTAGTTTTCCCCTGGTAGCATGTTTCAGTACTATAGCTGCACACACTTATGGCCAGATCTAGGAGAAAGTTCAGGTTTTTGTTTATCTCACCTATCCTGGATCAGCTCATTTTGATGCTTCTAGTTCATTTTCTTTCATCACTTTCCAGTGGCAGTGCTTACTCTGTGCTCCTTTTGTCCAGATTCTGTTCCCTTTTACCTGCCTGTTGGAATTGCTGCCATATTTCCACAGCTCCTTAGTTTTTCCACACTACAGCCATATTTCCATGATGTTGGCCAAGGCACTCTCTGTGATGAGAAAGTCTAGAAAGGATTTTATTTTGCCCAAGATCAGACAACGGAGCTAGCTAGCCACAGTAGATCCAATGGAACTCTCGTTTCTTGACTGTTTCTCTTACATGACGCTTCATTCCAGAATTCTAACAGCTCAATTTGAGATAACACAAAAAGCTTCCAAGTAATTCTATTTTATCATATGAATCTTTTTTTTTTCCTTTTCATATTTGACTAGCTGTACTGACCTGTTTTAAAATAAGCAGCCTTGATCCTTGTGCATTAAGATATGCAAACAAGTTGATGAGCATATACAAATAATTGTATATGCATACAAGTTTATTCATATACATCTGTATGATTAATGTATGGTGCATATGTGACTCTTGGTATTTATTGATGTAGAAAAAAATAAAATATTTTCTTTTTAGGCTCATATTCTACTTGACTGTGGTGAAGACAATGTCTGTAAGCCCAAATTGGAAGTTTCTGTAGATAGGTAAGTTTTACTCCAAAAATTAACAGTATAATAAGAAATTTAAATAGAGAATGCATTTTTGTATTGTAATGACATTTTAATAAGAATTCTTTACACTGAAGATAATGCATGGTTTTCTATATTAGTAAAATTACCAATACTGAGCTTTAAAAAAGTATGCACTGTGTTTTCACTATTTGCCTAAGTTGGTAAATCTGTTCCATTCAACATTGAGTAATGTCACAAAGTGAACCATTTTCTATGATATATAGATGATAAAGAATATTGTTTAGAGGCAAGACAGATGATTAATCCAGCTTTTAGGAAAAAATCAGGGAAATTAATACACATGTATAAAAAGATATAAAATCCTATCACATCAAATATGAACAATTAGTGATATATTTAGTGACATCAGTGTTTTTTTCACTGAGACAAGTATTGGATTTGCATGCAGTGTGCTATTTCCTGTCTTCTGTAGAGCAGAGAAGTAGTTTAAAGTATCTTGAGCTACTCTTGTATACATGTTGGCGCTGTCTGTGTATTTATCTCTTGGTTCTTTGAACTTCATGCTCTTGGCATGTAGTCTTTTTTTCACTGTCTGGATTTATATTAACTTGCAGTGATCAAAAGAAGATCTATGTTGGGGATGACAACCCTTTGACATTGATTGTTAAGGCTCAAAATCAAGGAGAAGGTGCCTATGAAGCTGAGCTCATTGTTTCCATCCCACCACAGGCTGATTTCATCGGGGTGGTCCGCAACAGTGAAGTAAGTATGCTGTCTCTTTAAAAATTGAAATGCACTCTTAGGTCTCATTAACATTGATGAGCTACTTCCAGTTTAGTGCTGTACCAGTTTAGCCACTCTACCTAAGGCTAAATTGCTAGACAATAGAATGCCTTTCTTACATAACCTTTCAAGCCTGATACTTTGCATAATACACTGATAGGATACTTCTAGAATTGCTAGCTAAGTGCCTGAAAACAAGGTCAGATAAATAAAGCCTGTCCATCAAATATTTTGTGAGAGGGTTTATAGTTATGTATTTAAGTTCTCTCGGGACTTATTAGAAACACTTACATTTACATTTGGCAGTTATACACATTCCTAGCCTCTCTCTTACCCCCTTTTTACTCAAATAAATGTATTTACTTTGTAAAGCAAGGAACAGATATTCAACTGCATATATTATCTAGAAAATTTATGGTTTTATGGCTTCTGCTGTTATTTGGTCATTATTTTCCTTTCAATCCTCTTTCTTTGTCTACTAAAGGCCTTAGCAAGACTTTCCTGTGCATTTAAAACAGAAAACCAAACCCGCCAGGTGGTATGTGATCTTGGAAACCCAATGAAGGCTGGTACTCAGGTAAGATATTTTAATTAAATGAATATTCTTTTTAAGAGCATAGCATATTTTTATGTGTTCATAATTTGGTTTTTTTTTTAGTAAACACCACATAATAAAGACCTTAAATATATTTTGATTTTGAGTGTAATGATTAGCAAAATTTTCTTAACTTTTGACAAAGATGCTAGAATAATGGGTTATGCTGTTACACTGTATTCAATAAGCTGCTCTTTATACTGCCTTCAGTTTGGTAAGAGGATGAGAATATGGTTTAAACTAAGAACTGAAATTGTAACTTCGATATTTTAAAATAATAATTTAGTGAATCCTTAAAAACAAGTCTGACAAGTATCAAAATTATCATTATTAGGAGAAATTGTTACAGAGTGGGGTGAGGGGCACCCCAGGACCCCCAGACCTGCCCACTCTAAATAGATCTGCCATCCGCTGCATCAAGACAAATCATAATGTTGCTCAATTGTTTTCTTTATAACAACAGTTTTCTACCTGTGGGATCTAGGATATATGAGAGGTACACAATCTCAGTTGTTAGAATCATGTCACCAAATCTTTTTACATAATTGCTGTATTTTCATTGGATCAACATTTGCTTTTACATTTTCAGCAAGTTATACTATTAATATTATGAGGAGATATGTTGTAGAATAATTGATGTTATAAGGAAATATAATATTCCAATGTGAATTGACTCAAGTTTCATAAATAAAAGAGATTCCCCGGCCCCCGGTGAGGGTCCCACATGGTGCGACAGACCTGCCATGCCTGCTGCTCCCCTCAGCAGTGTATTTCGTCAAGTCTGCCTGTCCTGTTCCCCGCTCTGGCGAATTCTCTCACCCTCCCGCACTTCTGACTGTACCCAATGCTTGTATAAATAAATTAATTAATAAATCTTAAAAAAAAAAAAGATCAGATTTGATTACCTTTGTTAGAGTACTTTCATTCATATTGTAACCTTGGAAAAACTTTTGGAACCTTTTTTATCTGGATATTAGATTTGAGACATTGTTGAAACCAACATAACCTTCTTTTCCTTCCCTGTAGCTCTTAGCTGGTCTTCGCTTTAGTGTGCACCAGCAATCAGAGATGGATACTACTGTGAAATTTGATTTACAAATCCAAAGGTATAAAACAACTTTAATCCTTAACTATTGAGGAAATATTAATAATAAATTAATCATTCAATATACTTTAAGTATTAAGGTACTAGAATAGACTGAAATTTCAGGACTTAATTATAATGTTTTTTAAATCAGTATTTACATCATAAGAATAGTTTCATTGTCACTTTTGAGGGTTTAAAATGAACTTAGTTAAGAAATGAAACAATCATTGGAATTAAATGCTAAATATTTTTTTCGATTTGTAAGTCATTTATTTGTGGCTGTTAATTTATTCATTTTTAGTTTCATTGCATTAGCTTCTGTATTGTTTTGATGATGATTATGTTCAATAATACATATTTTTTTTCTTTTTTTTAGCTCGAATCTTTTTGACAAAGTAAGCCCAGTTGTATCTTACAGAGTTGACCTTGCTGTCTTAGCTGCTGTTGAGATAAGAGGGTCAGTATGATTACCAAGTTGAGTATCTCATTCTCATGATTTAAACTATAGATCTTCCTTAACTTAGGGTTGTGTTACAGCCATATAAACCCATCGTGATTTGAAAATGTCATAAATTGAAAATGCCGTCTGAGAGCTGCTGCTCACTGCCATTTCACAGCATCGTGAGCAAGAATCGTAGTGATTGTTCTACTGAATGCATATTGTAAAGTTGAAAAACCCTGTATTGAACCATTGTAAATAAGGGATTGTCTCTACTTAAAAAGTAGTTACTTCTAAAAGTAACTACAGTAAATTCTCAATGTTGTCCATAGGTTCTTGGAAACTGACTTAAAAGCAAAGCAACATATAAGGAAAGCAAGTTCTCAAACAATCTTTTGTTATTGTCAACTGTAATTCTTTTTTTCTCATCAATGTTGCCAGGAAATGATGTTAAGCAAAATAATACGATTCAAAGTCTGCTATACTGGACCCTCTAGTTTCTTCCAGATTGTAGCACTCCGTATTTCATACTGCTTATAACAAAGCTATAGCTTCTCCAGAAAGAAGGTCCTAGCTATGTTCCAAAGTCACAAATATTTTAGTGTACTCTGGGCATGAACCAGAGATAGCAACAGCAGTCACAAAATAAGTTTTTGGAACTTTTATGCAAGCTGACTTGTCAATTTACCTGTTATATCACATCAATGAAGAATAGTTTATGTATATGTGCAGGCACACATACATGCATCATTCTTTCTCTTTTAAAATGTGTGTTTTTTTTTTTTTAATCAGTTCTCATTTTCTTCATTTGGATATTGGGTACTTTTGAAACTGACCATATCCTGTTGATATTCATAGTAGTTTTCTTTGCTTATCGTTTAGGGTCTCAAGTCCCGATCATATCTTTCTTCCGATTCCAAATTGGGAGCACAAGGAGAACCCTGAGACTGAGGAAGACATTGGGCCAGTTGTTCAGCACATCTATGAGGTTTGCAGTTGTTGGGTGTAACTGATACCTAGTGGAGAGCCAACAATGGGAAGATCAGATAGGCTCTTTTCAAGGACAAGCCTATTTAATTTTCATGTAAATTCTGCAGTTTAAGTTTGTACCAGAGATTTCTTGCAATTTTTTTCCTGACTCATAAGATCATTTTTATTAGACAAGTAGTTTCAAGTGGTTAAAGAAGGCAGTTTAGACAAATTGTTGCTTAAAACTAGTTGCTTCTACTTGACTGACAGCAGTAGGTCATTAATATTTTCACATGGACATTTTGTAGTTTTAACTAAAAATTGAAAATTCTATAGCAAATCATCAAAATTTTATTTCCTTCGGAAGAAAATTTTCCATGTTATCTTTCATCAATAATTTTTTATATTTTCCTCTTTTGTTTATATTTTCATCCTGACATATCCTGCCCTCTACTAGAGGCAGATACTGAGTTTGATCTTTTTTGCATGATGATATTCATATTATGATATTAGAGTAACTATGGTAACTCTGCTGTTCCTCAAATCCTATTGCTAATGATTACTGAAGCTTATGTAGGGAAAGAATTATAAAATAGATTTTTCCTAAAGTATTTACGTCTTCTTTTCTTCATTAGCTGAGAAACAATGGTCCAAGTTCATTCAGCAAGGCGATGCTAAATCTTCAGTGGCCTTACAAATATAACAATAACACTTTGTTGTACATCCTTCAATATGATATTGATGGACCAATGAACTGCACTTCAGATATGGAGATCAATCCTTTGAGAATTAAGGTAATGTGCTAAACAACAGTTCTTCATTATGACAATGTTTTATTGCTTTTTTCCCCAAAACCTATTAGAGAAATTCATAAAATGAAACTATTTTATACAAAAACCCAATCTGAAAAAAATACTTTAGTTCATAACCAAGTTGTTTATTAGTGTAATGAACAGGGACTAACCTGATGAAGTTCTAGGGAACCTGTATTTGTGGTATTTGTGTCTTATGTTGGGAGCCTTTGGAGATGTTCTTTTTTTAATATATATTTCTTTTAATGGAGGTAAACTTGATTTACAACACTGTGTATGATTCACAGGTTTGGGATAACACCCTTAAAGTGTACGTCACCATATCACACACACCTTAGGTGATGTTCTTAAAATGACCCAATCTGATTTTGGTTCCATAGCACTGTGGTTCACCCACTTGTCATATTGTGTCAAGGGCATTTTGTTGTTGAAATTTTTGTCTTTGGGACAAGATATAGCATTTTATTGCTGGCTCTCTTAACTTCCATAACCTTGGTAAATGCCATTTTATGGAATTCTGTATACTTTTAGATGTAGTCATCTCCATCCTTGCCACCTCTATTTGGATAGAGAACTATTGCAGTTTGGATTAAGGAAATCTAAGAAAATAAAACAAACAAAAAAAATCTGTGCTCATGATTGACAAATATCAAAGATGTACACTATAAAATTTCAGACTCTGTGTATATTATCAGCTTCCTCTCAAACTATTCAACAGAAGACAATCACAGCTAGGCAGAAGTACCTTTTTCTCTATATATATTTTTAAATTTTTTTATTTTTTTAAATTTTTTACATCATTATTCATTTTTAATAATATTTGCTTCCCTCCTCCCCCTCAGATATAGTCCCCATAGAGTTTCCTTCACCAGTGCACCATCATCTCAGTCCCCTGTGCTCCTCCCTCCCTCTCTCTGATCCCTCTCCCCTTTTTTCTAGATATTAAGGACACTACACTGATCTTTATTTTCTCTGTTTACTTTTTGCCATATGTGTCAAGTGGTGAATTTGCTGTCATACCAAATTTTTAGTCACCATGTTTTAATCACATATGAAAGTTTATGCCAAACATCAGTGTAAAGCATTTTGATTATTACTTACTATCAGTTTATTAATGTAATTCTAGATCTCAAATATGCAAACAAATGAAAAGAATGACACAGTTGCTGGACAAGGTGACCGAAACCATCTCATCACCAAGCGAGATCTCACCGTAAGTGTAGGAGATATTCACACTTTGGTAAGTGCCATTTCAATAAGCACTTTGAACATTTAAAAATATGTGATTATAGAACTGATGCCAAAGAACATTTCAAAAATAACAACAGCTGTGCTTAAAAGAACAACATATATTTTTATACCATTCAGGCCTCTTTCTTTCCTTGTTCCTTGTCAAATTATCACCACATTTTCTTCAAATGATCTGTCTTTGTAGATTGCTAATAAAAATATTTTATGAGCCATCTTATTTTTCTGATAGCACTCCTTTAACTGACTCCTTGTCCACACTCTAGTCTTTGAGGCTATAATGTAATATTGCAAGAAAAGTCCAGAAGTCTTCAATGAAAATTTATTAAAAGAATAATTAGCATGATGATTAACTTTGGTTGAGTCATCCTGTGTAATGACTAACATTATAAAGGGACTTATCTCTTGAGTTTTTGAAATTCAGCAGTTCTGTAACAATCACCTCACCTAGCAGAAAACTTGGTATAATTTTTATATTCATTAGTGATCACCAGTTACTTTAGATCACCAAATCCCATGGTCCTTCTTAATTCTCATCCAATTAAACTGCTCACTTGGCATTTTGGCAGTTAATCATTTCCTTCTTTGTGAAAATTCTCATTCCAGACACCACTTTCCTTTGGTTCTCTACCCATCACAACTATGGCAACTTTTAATCTCCATTTCCAGACCTTTAAACTCTATAGAGTATTCCAGGACTAAGATAATCTGATTTCTTATCTCTTCTACCTATATTCCTCCATTAGATCTGTGCTGTCCAATCCTGTAGGCACCAGCCACATTTCACTGGTTAGTAGCCACTCGTGGCTAATGATTACTGTACCAGAAGTGCAGGTATCTCCATACTGATGATTTCCATGATCATAGAGAGTTGGGACAGTGCTACACTAGATAATCTTATCACTTTCATGGCTATAAATCTCACCTCTATGTGAATGACTTTGGTTTATTTCCTACCTGATCCTCTTTATTAACTCCAGACTCCAGTTACTTCCTAGAATCCCTCTTAATTACTTAATAGGAATCTTAAACTTAGTTTTAACAACACACCCTTCAGTTTTCCCAAGTCTTATCTTTCTATTATGTGCTACATTTTAGCAAATATAAACTCCATTATGTCTAAAACCTGGACATGTGCTTGACTTCTCTTTTCCTGTTAAACCTCTCATTCTATTTTATCAGCAAACTCTAGCAATATGTACTGTCAAAATACCTAGAATCTGGCCCCTTCTCAGTGGCTCTACCATTGCCAGACCTAACCCAGGAACCTTCCTCTCTTTCAGACAATTGCCAAACCTCTAGTTGAATTTCATACTTCTGCCCTTTTGCCCAAAATTTTTTTGTTTGTTTGTTTGCTACACAGGAATCACAGTTTTCCTTTTAAATAAAGATCAGGTCATGTCACTTCAGTGCTTTCATATTTAACTCAGAGAGAAAGCCAAGCCTGCATAGTTTTAAGCCCAACGCAGTCTAGGCCCTTCTACCTTTCTGACTAGTTTCATCTCCTCTCCTTACTCTGCTCTTCCAATTTTGCACATCTTACTTTTCATCAAACAGACAGCCCCAAGCATATTTCTAGCACTTAAAGGCTAGAAATATGATGAGTTGTATGAAGGTGACATATCTAATGCAGTTTAACCAACACATAGAAGGTGGTGAATATTTGTCCTACCTTCAGGCTACCTACCTTCAAGTTATTGATAAAAAAATCTCTGACTGTGGAGAGACCATCAGCTTACCATTTGACATTTACAAGTCTGACATGGAAGCACTATTACGGGTTTACTTGTTACTTTTTTTCCCCACAGGGATCTTGTGATCTGGTTTTCATATCTGACTAAAATCACTACACTCTGCATTTGCCTAAAGAATGCCAAATTTTAGCTATAAAGACAAATCTTCTGATATTATATATCTTATAATTATAGATCCTTCTATAGCATCATGTTAAAACCAACTCCTTCATAACAGACTCAACTACTAGCCTGTTCATGTCAAACATATTCTTGTAAGTCAGAAGAACCTGGGTCAAATCTTTGACTTTCAGATGAAATGACCAAAATGTCTAATTTTCAAATGTTTAAGAGAGAGAGTAGAATAACATTTCCTTGTATGTAATTAATTTGTTGGCAGGGTTGTGGAATTGCTGAGTGTTTGAAGATTGCCTGCCAGGTTGGGCGATTAGACAGAGGAAAGAGTGCAATCCTGTATGTAAAGTCTCTACTGTGGACTGAGACCTTTATGAATGTAAGTGGACAGAAGCAAACTTACTCAGTTTTTCAAAGATATAAGAAATTGCCTAATATCTAGGAAGTAACTTCATTATTATTTCCATATAGAAGGAAAACCAGAATCATTCATATTCTCTGAAGTCATCTGCTTCATTTAATGTCATAGAATTTCCTTATAAGAACCTTCCAATTGAGGATATCTTCAACTCCACATTGGTAAGATACTGATTTGGGGAAATTAAATAAAAGCATTCAGCTCAGGGCCTCCCTGGTGGCGCAGGTGGTTGAGCGCAGCACTGTGAGGCTGTCCGCAGCCTCTGCAGCACGGGTTCGATCCTGGCTGGCCAGGTAGCAACCCACATGGTGCAGCAGACCTCTCCTGTCTCGCCCGCTCCTCCCCTCAGCAGTATATTTCATCAGTCTGCCTGTTCTGTTCCCCAGCCTGTCTCTGGTGAATCCTCTCACCCTCCCACACATCTGGCCTGTACCCCAGTTCTTGTATAAATAAATAAGCCTTTAAAAAAAAACCTCTAAAAAAAGCACTTAGTTCAATGCCATGAGTATTTTTATTTTATTTAAATGATGGCCGTTTAAATATTTTGACAACTTAAAGTAATTAAGTTATTTGATAGACTTATAACCTACTTTAATATTGTTTTACCCTCCTTCCCTGAATTATCAAAGGTAGACCTTTTCCTTTAGCATCTTGTCCTGTCTAAGAAATTCTTAGCATATTACTAAATTTCATAGAGGGAAATTTCTTTTTTTTTTCTTAAAGATTTTTATTTATTTTTGTGTGAAAGAACTGGGGTGCAGTCCAGGGGTGGAGGGGGGTGGTGAGAGGACTCACCAGACAGAGTGGGGAACAGAACTGGCAGATCTATTTAAATACACTGCTGAGGGGAGCAGGGGAAGAGACCGGAGAGGTCTGCTGCACCATGTGGGTTAGTTGCCTGGGAATTCAGGTTGTGGAGGTGATAGCACTGAGACTTAACCCTTAGGCCAGCAGGGAGGTCCCCATAGAGGGAAGTTTCTCCCCACAAAGTTATATAGTTGAAAATTAAATGTAACAAGTGAAGGTATTTTAAAGATCTTTAATTTGAGGATTAAATGGGACTACAGAGTCCTGAACTGGATTAGATTATTTAAAAATCATTTCAGAAGCAATCAGAAGTTAGCCCATTGTTGGGAATTTGTGTATATATGTGTACGTGTACATGCTGTCAATATCAAACTTATAATCATAAATTTCATACACAAGAAGAAAACAATGTGAAGACCACTAAAGTAAAATATAAATAGGCATTCAAATATTTGTTGAATGAATATTTTTGTTTTGTTTTGTTTTACTTTTTTGAAGTAGGCAGGTCAGGGTTTAATGTAAGAAGGTGCATGTAAGGAGAATGTGGTCAAGTAATCCAAATGAATGGACTGAGAATGAACACAACATTCACTAGAAATAGAAATGGGGAGCCTGGAGGCCAAGGAGGTGATGCACTGCTCCTGATCCTCAATCTGACAAAGTTACCCAGAAACCACCACACAAAAACACGTGCACACATGAAAACTTCACAAAATTAAATAAGTGAAAAATAGACTCATAATTAAACTTTTGAGTAATTATTTGGGTAAACTTATAACATTTGTACTTTTGGAAGTTTTTTATTGAAGTGCCATTCATTTACACCATTATATAGGTTTTAGGTCCATGATATTATAAATCAGCATCTGTATATACTACATTTTGTTCTTAGTGCGTTATTTTTAAAACTCAAAAACCTTCCCTTCCCACAGGTTACCACTAATGTCACCTGGGGCATTCAGCCAGCACCCATGCCTGTGCCTGTGTGGGTGATCATTTTAGCGGTTCTAGCAGGATTGCTGTTGCTGGCTGTTTTGGTATTTGTAATGTACCGGGTGAGTAGTGGACTTAGGGAGGGAGGAGAAAAGGACGAATGGAAGTGAAAGGGACCTTAATAATGATGCATGCTGAGTATTACATATTATTTGAAGGAAAGAAAATTGTACCTATTTTGTTAATGATATTGTAGTCAGAAAAGTTTTAGTATTTTTCACTGATGTGGCAGTAATGGTGATTTTCATTTGACTGACAGATGGGCTTTTTTAAACGTGTTCGGCCACCTCAGGAAGAACAGGAAAGGGAACAGCTTCAGCCTCATGAAAATGGTGAAGGAAACTCAGAAACTTAACTGGGATTCTTAAGTTATGCTACATCCTGACCCATTAGAATTACCAACTTCATTGTAGATTTTGATTTCCTTCATGAGGAATAAAATTCCGAGACTGTACTGCTGATGGTACCCACTGGTATTAACCACAACATGAGAGCAATATTTGTCAACCTTTTCATTATAAATATGTTCAGATATACATTTAATGCACATCTACTGACTTGTGTTTTTAGGTATTTAAAAAAAAATTCAAGTGATAGTTTTTCAATGTACATAAGGCAGGTAGTGCTTGAGTTACTACTTTATATATAAAATAGTACCTCTTACATTTCTTAATTTTGATTATGTTAGATTTTGTTGTCATTTCTATTATTTTTGTTTTTTTAAAGCAATCTCATTTGAACCTTTGTGTCCTATGCACATCTTTTGTACAGATACTTAATGTTAATACATATTACACTACAGTTGAATTTTCAAGCTACTAGACTTTATAACTGCAGAAACTGGATTTTAATGGTTCTATATGGTAGAACTAAAACGCAAAAACAAAAACCTGATCCCATCAAAATTTTTTCCTCTAATAGCAAAGTTACAGTAATATGTTTTAATATGAAAATTAGATACATGCTATTAAATTTCTATTTATATTTAACCCACAGTCATTTTATTACATTTTAATTTGTGTAATTAAGTTCAATTTCAAATTCTTTAAGCCAACCTACACTAAAAATTAGTTCTATAATCAGAAATGCCTTTTTGTGTAATAGTTTAATTTTAGCTTAACATCATAATGCTTAAAACCAAATGAAATTGGAAATCACTTCCAAAGTACACTTACTCTATTGTATTAGTCTTGACTATTTACAATACAAAAAAGGCATTTTACTTAAAAGACTGTATTTGTAGTTCTTGTTTATTAATGGTATATTCTCAGATTAGAGCAATGCTTCTAGTTGGAATTAATTTATTTTCCACCTATGTATGTATTTTTCCTTATACTCCAAAACTGTCAAGATCAATGAGGAATCTTTGCAACTTATAGGAATCTATACCCACTCCAACTCCCGTGAAAAATGCTTGGAAATTAAAAATCTTAAAGTAAGTCACCAATTTACTTTGGCAATAACATATGCGACTTACAGGCATATTACCTCACCTTACACAAGGTAATGTGAAAAAAACAGTCTCAGCTATCAAAATGAATTTGAAAGATACTTTTTATAAGCAATTCAAGTAAATGGAAGCCTTTTTAAACTTTTTTAGGTATAGCAACATAAATTAGTTTTCTAAGATTTTTTAAACAAAAGCTGACCAGGTGGCAAGTTGTAGTTTTATATGCCTATAAAGCAGTGAAACTTCTAGGAGAATATATGATTTATTCAGTTTCCCATGGCCTGGGGATGACTATTAATTACAGCTATTTTTATGCAGTAACATATTGTACATTAGAAATTGAGAGCTTAATAGGTTTTTAACTGTTCTCATTAGGCAATGATAAATATTTTCCATAAATAACAATATTTTTCTGTGTTTTAAAAATAACAAATTTATCTTGCCATGTCTGGTGTTCTAATTCCCTGCATAATTGGCTTAGCATCTATTTATAAATTGGATGCACATGTAGGTAAGTTACAATAGAACATTGACAAGATCCTATATTAAACTTGAGTAAATTTCAAAATTTATAGATTTTTTAGTATAGATTTTTTTTAATAGTTTAAAAGATCCTAGTCATAAGCATTAGGTATTTTTATTACCAATATTTTAAATTTTTTAAGAAAAAAAAATTTTTATCTGATGATCTGTTATAAACTACTTAAAGTTGGTTTGTAACAACTTCTACATTACCTGTTTTTCCCCCAGTAGCAGTCATTCCTGAAAATATGTTGGGTAGAAATCTACTCTTTGAAAAAAATATTTGCTTCTGCACAGTCCATTCTCCTTATGACTTCTATCTTAAGGTATATTTTTATATAGGAGATTCAAGGACTTTGTCGCTGAAAATTACCATGCATTTTAAATAGCCTTTGTGAAATGAAGTAGTATATTCTTTTAAAAAATGAAATATTATATCTCTATAAAAATAAGGAAGAAATGTAATTTAAAAGTCTGCCCCTTGGGGAAAATATTGGGATTATTTTTACCCTAAAATAGCACTTGAATGTACTTGGTTCAAATGTGAAAAATAACCCTATGAAATCTATATTAATTTTCACACATTTTAAATAATGCTATTTTTACTTACTGAAAATTAAAATTCATTTTAAATACATAAAATTTCTATAATCTGATTAAGTTAAAAAAACAGTTATCACTGAGGCAGAGAATAGTTGAAAGCAGTTGATATTGGTAAGGAATGTTGGTACTGTTGAATTCTTATATATGCATTTATTTCAGAATTGATGTTTGGAGAAACATTTGAGGGACATTCTTTGCTTTTACTGTTCTCATGATTCATGCTGATTAAGTTCTTAATTCTGAGCTGTAAAACAATTACTCAAAATATTAGTGCCACAATTCTTCTGTCTTTTGAAACTACTTGTGGAAAATTCTCATTGTTTATATTTATATAAAGAAAACACATAAATATTAGTAAAAGAGATTATACTGGCTTAAGAGAGCTATGAAAGCTTTTTTGATAGTAAACCATGACCCTAAGAGAGAGCTTCATGAGGCAAAAGTATTGTATGTAATAGATCATCTGATTTTTATAAAGCAGACAACTTGTAACTTGATAGACATTCCTATGATGGAGAATGTAGCGCCCAAGTCTGGAGAAATAAATTGTTATTGTAATACCTGTGTATGACCATTGGCTATCACAGTGTCACCTTATTTGTACTCTTGGATAGATTGTATGTGTGGTAGTTTGGTAATAAGAAAAATATATGAAATTTGAATATTGAATATAGGATCAAAAATATTGACTGAAATGACTTACTACTCTGTTTTGGAGAGTTATCTCTTTTCACTTGTTGGTAGGCTAGTCTGAAGGATGAACCTATGGACCTGTAGCATGCATCTATGCTTGTATTCATTGTAATTTCCAATACAATATGAACTTCTTGGGAGAGGTACGTAATTTCTGATTTTTATTGTCATTGTTCTCAAGTGCAATATAACAATGTAACCAAACCTAGTCATTCTTAATTTAGTAAGCCTAATCTGAATGAAGATATTATTGGTATTTTGTTAGCAGGAAGGAGTGGTTCTGCTATGGACATTTACTCCTAAGCGGTTCATTCTATGTTTTATTTCAGACTGGACATAAACTATTTCCTGCTAGTTTTAAAACACTTTGAATTATCTTAAAGTAATTTGGAAGTTGTGTATATAAAATTAATTTGCTACCTACTTACATAACATAGAAAGTAATTTTTTTTTGTTCTGCTTCTCTTGTGATCACCCACATTGGGTGAGGCATAAAATGAGTGTGTTCTAAAAACTTGATTTGAGTTAGTGAAAACTGGTACAGTGTTCTACTTAGTTTCCAGTGTGTAACTTGTGATTGTACAATAAACTTGAGCATATGTTGCCACTTTTGTGTATGGACTTTATATTTCCTTCTAATATGTGTTTCATTTCCTTTTTTAAAAAAGATTTATTTATTTATGCATACAAGAACTGGGGTACAGGCCAGAGCTGTGGGGGATGAGAGTATTCACCAGAGTGGGGAACAGAACAGGCAGACTGACTGAAATACACTGCTGAGGGGAGCAGCGGGCGAGGCAGAAGAGGTCTCCTGCGCCATGTGGGTTGCTCCCTGCTTGGCTGGGGATCAAACTTGTGCTGCAGTGGCTGGAGATAGCTTAATAGCCCTGTCTTTAACTCCTGCGCCACCAGGGAGGCTTCATTTCTTAACCACATGAGCCAGTAACAAGTCACTGAAAACATTACCTCAAAGAGGAGAAATACCTAAAAGTCTCAATTCTTGAGTTTTAGTTATTTATAAAAAGGTAACACAAAAAGAGCCAAAGGGCCCTCACATTAAAATACAATAATTACAGATCATAACAATCATGGATATTTAAATTTTAAAAGGGGGTTCTAATTCCTACAATGACAGCAAACCTTGTGTCACATAACAGTGATAAATGATGAGCAAAATAGAAGGGGACTTTCAAAAGAACTTTTTGAAGATACTGAAGTTACCAAAAGTAGTTAGAAACTGGAGGTCTCTGTTGTGTGGATAGAATGGAAAATACTTGGCCTCTCAATTTCCTGGGATGATGGGGCTGCCATCAATGCCTGAGAGCTGGAGAGAGAGGAAGGACCCACAGCATGTGAAGTGGGAAAAATTCTCCCCTCAAATCTTTGGCTGATACTTCTCTATGACACTTCAAAGAGCCCCTCAACAAAAACGAGATGCCCAAAGACCTGAGCAGACCAGCTACTGTCCACTGCAGGAGAAAGAGATTGAGTTTTACCCACTGACAGAGCTTTGGAAACCCATGTCTTTCCATTGAACCCCTGGAGGATCTATACCTCAGGGATAAATACTCCATCCAAAGAATGGCAAGTCAAAGTGGTCTAGCATAAGGAAGCATAAAACCAAGCTTCCACAGGTTTCAACTTATCCTCCTATAAATTAACTGTCTGGTCATAAAGGCATTTACTCTCTCAGAGGAAGGTGACTACGCCTGAGGACCGCAGTGCCTCACCCACAGTGTCTAGTGTGGAAATGAAAATGGGAAGGGAAAATGACCTCTGGTTTTGAGAAAAATTAGTCAGCATAACAGTCCTACAAACATTTTAGCAGATACCACTTTGACTATGTTAAATATGTTAAAGAATCTAGGAAAACAGGAACATTATGGGTGAAGGAATAGGCATTTTTGGAGACTGGTAAAAACTCAAGTGGAAATCTAAGGACTTAAAAGTACAGCTGAAATAAAATTCATCGGAGGAGAATTAAAAGTAGAGCAAATAAAGGAAATAAATTTAGAGATCAGTGGAGTTCAAACTGAAGCAGATGGCAAAAATCACCTGTGGAACAATCTACATCCAAAAAGGGTCTTCTTAAAAAATTGGACAAAGTTTCTGGAACCAGAAAATCCCCAAATTTGAACAACAATAATAACCTCCAATTCTGAAACCTCAATGAACTTCAAAAAGGACAGTCACAAAGAACACCATGTATGGGGCCTCCCCGGTGGCGCAGCGGTTGAGCGCTGGGTTGCGAAGCTGCCCGCGGCCTCTGCGGCGCCGGTTCAATCCCCGGCTGCTCCCCGGCCACCGGAGGAGGATCCCACATGGTGCGCAGACCTCTCCTGCCACCCGCTGCTCCCCTCAGCAGTGTACTTCAGCCCTTCTGCCTGCTCTGCTCCCCGCTCTGGCTCTGGTGAATTCTCTCACCCTCCCGCGCTTCTGGCTGTACCCAGTGCATGTATAAACAAAACAAACAAATATAATAAATAAATAAATAAAAACATGCCTCTATAAAAAAAAAAAAACAACTAAAAATAAAAAAAAAAAAGAACACCATGTATGTACATAATAAGTGCTTTTTATGTCAAAGTTGCTGATAACCACAAATTAGAAGGGCTTAGCGTCATCCCTTTCACACTGTTAATGATGCCCAGGGAGGTTACTTGTCCATAGCAGTTATTGGCAGAATTAAGACAGAAGTTTACGTATGCAAATCCTACTGCAGCGTGCTTTCTTCTGTGCAACACTTCCCAGATAGATACTAACCACAGTTTATAAAAGGGATTTGCTGTTATTTAGTGAACCGAACAGACTGGGATGTCTGAGTATCAATTGGTACAACACCAATATTTTCCCAGGTAATGTTTTTGTTTACTTTCTGAATTGTTCTGTGTTGCCTAGAGTTATAGGGCTAGAGGCTTTTACACTCTGGTTCATTTTCCTGGGTCAGTCCCATTTCCTGAAGCAGTGTGTGTGTGTGTGTCGGGGTGGGGGGGTTTAGTAACAACTCATACTATTTTTTTAAAATGTATTTTTTTGTTTTATTTATTTGCCATTACTTTATATAACTATAATTTGGGGAGTACATTTTCACATCTCCATTTGTCACTGTGCCTCACCCACACTTCACCAAAGCTCCAGTGCCACAACCCTGTCACTTTCCCTTCCTCTGCCCCCTACTTTTTAAAAAGCTATTGTAAATGGGAATGTTTTCTTCATTTCTTGTTCAGATAGTTCATTATTAGTATAAAGAAATGTAATGGCTTTTTGTATACTGATTTTGTATCCTGCAACTTTACTGAATTTGTTATTCTAACCATCTTGGGGGAGTCTTCAGAATTTTCTATATATATAAGGTAATGCCATCTACAGAAACAATTATAGTTCTATGATTTGGATGCATTGCTTTTTATTGCCTAACTGAGTAGGACTTACAGTACTATATTTAATAGAACTAAGAAAGGGCATCTTTACTTTCTGATCTTAGATGAAAAACTCCGGCTTTCAAGTTGAAATATGTTAGCTTTTGGCCTTTATTATGTTGAGGTACATTCCTTCAATACCAAATTAGTTGAGTTTTTTTTTTTTAGGTCATGAAAGTATTGACTTTTGTTAAATGCTTTTTCTGATCATATGCGTTTTTCCCTTCATGTTGTTAGTATGGTATCACATTGATTTGTGGATAATAGAGGGGAGCTCGGGTCCAAAGGCAGTGTTGAACCTTGTGTCCCCTGGAACCTGGGTGTATGGATATTGGCCTGACACCGAGATGAGCTTAGAGCCTGGTGGTATAGGACTGGTTTGAGACTGAGGTGGGTCTAAAGTTTGGTTTGGGGCCATGGAGGGGGCTAGCCTGGCACTGAGGTAGACCTAGAGCTCATGATTACAGAGTAGCATCATTTCTTAACTTTTGGAACCAACATATTTTTTCCAGAATTATTTGACTTCCCTGTAATTTCTTTTATCCAATCTTTTTTCTTCCACCAAAATAATTCTATATGTATGAAACTGTCATATATGTATATATAGTCAGATACATATACACATGCAATTCTCATTACTTTTGTTTTTTTTTTTTTTTAATAGAGGCATGTTTTTCTTTATTTATTTGTTTGCTTGTTTGTTTGTTTTGTTTATACATGCACTGGGTACAGTCAGAAGCGCGGGAGGGTGAGAGAATTCACCAGAGCCAGAGCGGGGAGCAGAGCAGGCAGAAGGACCGAAGTACACTGCTGAGGGGAGCAGCGGGCGACAGGAGAGGTCTGCGCGCCATGTGGGACCCTCCTCCGGTGGCCGGGGAGCAGCCGGGGATTGAACCGGCGCCGCAGAGGCCGCGGGCAGCTTTGCAACCCAGCGCTCTACCGCTGCGCCACCGGGGAGGCCCTCTCATTACTTTTGAATTTACCTATTTGCTAAGATGTATTTGTAACCCACAAATCAGTACTTTCATAGTTACTCATGGTAATGTGCAGAGCAGTGAAACACTTGGTTGCCCATCATGGACATTACCAACAAGACAATGCTCTTTCTTCTTTTTCTACTTGTCATACTGGTATAGGTGTGTTTTTTTTTTTTTTCTTTTTTTAATGTGACCTATTTAGTGCTAGGTTTCTTGTAGCTTTGCACTTCTTGTTAGTAATTTTCTTGCTTAAAATATCCCCCAATTATAGTGCCAAGGTGCTATATAGTGTTCCTAAAAACAAGAATGCTGGGATGTGCCTTATAGAGAAAATGCATGTGTTAGATAAGTTTTGTTTGGGCAGGAGGTGTAATGTTATGAGCTATGAGCTCAATGTTTATGAACCAAGAGTGTATAATAAATAAGGTGTTTTTAAACAAAAGCACACACAAATTAAGGCTATGCACTATCAGTTGATGAAAATGTTTTGACCTGAGGCTCTGAAGAACTGACTGTTTTTCTTCATGGAGCAATGGTTTGGTATTTGCTAATTTCATGTTTAAGTGCCTTTATAGAACATAAGCACCAAGAAAAATGGGAATTGACTTATATAACATGAAATTTTATAGATATTATAAAATATACTAGTATAATAAATAAATAACAGCAACCTTATGTTTGCCAAAGAACTAATAGCTGATGTTTACTGAACAGTTCCTATGGCAATAAACTAAGCATTGTGCATGTAATTTCTCTTTGTTACCTCCTTTAGTTTCTATTATTTCTCCCTCTATAGTCACAAGTTTGTTTTTGAAAATTCTATGTGTTATAAGGAATGGATGAAATATAACTCTGATTTCTTTTTTTTAAAGATTTATTTATTTATTTATACAAGCACTGGGTACAGTCAGAAGCGCGGGAAGGTGAGAGGATTCACCAGAGCCAGAGTGGGGAGCAGAGCAGGCAGAAGGACCGAAGCACACTGCTAAGGGGAGCAGCCCGCGGGGCAGGAGAGGTCTGTTGCGCCATGTGGGACCCTCCGAACCTGTGCTGCTAAGGCTGTGGGCAGCTTCGCAGCCCAGCGCTCAACCACTGCACCACCAGGGGAGGCCCTGGATGAAATATAACTTTGAATGAAGTGTATAGATCTATGAAAACTAGTCAATATTAAGAGGGTAATAAAAATGGAAAAACATGGGGAAAATAGAAATAGAAGGATAGTGCACTCAAAATGCTTATCCAGAGTCTTTAGAACTGTTTAAACTAAAACTGCAAATCATAGGGGTGCTTTGTAATTGTGGCTTATGATGCCATATCTAGGAAGTAGATACTGAAATTTAAAAAATATTGGCCCTACATCAAAATATTGGCCATTGAGAGACCTCCCTGGTGTCGCAGGGGTTAAAGTCTTGGTACTATTAAGCTACCACCAGCCAGTGTGGCATAAGTTCTACTCTGACCAGGAAGCTAACCCATATGACACAGCAGACATCTCCTGTCTTGCCCACTGCTTCCCTCAGCAGTGTATTTCAGTATATCCACATGTTCTGCTCCCTACTCTGTCTCTGGTGAATCCTCTCACCACCCCTACCTCTGGCCTATACCCCAGTTCTTTGAATGCATAAATAAATAAAAATAAATCTTACTTATTTGAAGCTAAAATAAGCAGTTAAAATATATTTAGGATATATTGATTTTTATCTTGACCAACTTTTTCAGTTCACCAGCTTCTAGCTTTGATTGCATCAGATAACACAGCTCTTGTATACTGCACAGAAATTAAACTTGTTTATGAGTAGTAGGGAATTTAAAAATGATCTTGAATGACAACTTTTACATCTTTAAACAGTCTATGGTATTGAAGGACTTGACATCCACCCTCCTCTGGGGGCCGTGAAGTTAGTGGCTTGCCTCCAGGAGGTCAGCTTTAATATATTTAAGATGACTTGGCCACCATAGGCAGGATGACAGAAATCCTGGCAGTGTTCCTTTCTTCTTGATCTGCCAGTCAGGTTCTTGGAGCTGTTTCCATTTTCCATTTCCAGGAGCAGAGGTTAAGCTGGAAGAAAATGTAACAAAACAGCTTGATGATGCTGATGAAGACTTTCTGCATTCGCTCTTCCCTGCTTGCTTCTGCTTATACAGGAGAGGCAAAGCATGGTGAACCATGGCGTCCAGACGGAGGGTCCTCATGTCAGCATCTGTTTTACAAGTCATTCCGTTAAGGTAGACACTACTTTCATTCCCCTGACCAAAGAATAATTTTGCGCTACTGAGAAGTTTGTTGTTTTCTGGCAAGTTGGAAACATTGGGAGGAAGGCACATAATGTTGAGGGAGGAATGGGAACAGCCAATTGGTCAAATCATTGATCAACTATGAAGGTACCAGACGTGATAGCACAGTTAGGGCCCATTTGCACAGTACTTTGAGAAGTCACTTCTATGCCAAGAGAATACAACTAAATACCTCGCAGTTCACCTTCTCTGCAATCTGTGTTATCCTTTGTAAGGTTACACGAGTTAATCAGGCTTTTTATGCCACTGGCCTCTGTGACTCACCTGTGGCCTTAATCATGTTAACGCAGAAGCCTCATGGGAGTGGGGCACGAGTGCCTGGTTGTGGACACCTGGAAAATGGGTGCGTGTACATGTGCAGGTGTGCACACCTGTTCCTAGGAGGAAGGGAATAAAAAGGCAGCAAGAGGGCGGCTCAAGGTGCTGTCTTCCTGCTGGCCTGTTTCCCTTGCTTACTATTAAAACCTGTGAAGATGGTGCCAAGGGCTCCACAGTTCCCTTTTCAACTGTTAGAACTGATGGTGACCTTCCCTTGCCTGAGATAGTTGCAAACCACCCTTTAATCTTCATGACATTTGTTGGGTAAGGAAAAATGTCAGGCTTTTCTGCCCTCCCGCCATCAGGACAGATGATGGATCCTTGTGGTCCTGAATGCATGCCTGATGGCGGGCACCTGGAATAGGGTGTGGGCATAGGTAGATGGGATTCACCTGGGCTAAGACTGGGCTTTTAAGGGCGGCGTCACGGGGACGCCAGCATCAGCAGCAGAAGCCGAGCAGAAGCCGAGAGAGGGCCGGAGAGCCCAGAGTGAAGAGCTGCGGGAGACTGGGAGGCCTGTCAACTTCCTGGCCCCCCCAGCATCTCTGCCTGCCGTGTACCTGGTAATCCCAATAAAAACCTGAAAAACCACTGAGGACTCTGACTCCTCCTTTACCCGGTCTGCTAGATCCTAGAAAACCTGCTCAGTGGTCATTCCTGCCCCTACAACATTATAGGCAGTTGCCCAAGATCTCAGTCTGACAATTTGAGTGTCATACTAAATATGCCCATAGTTCTCTCTGCTCCCCACCCAATCAACCAACCATCTCTGTTGATTCTATCCCTAAATACTAACTATCCCACTTATTTTCCTCTCCTTTACAAGTGTGTAAGCTTTGGGCATTTATCTCCTTGTGGGCTTTTGCAAACACCTCTAAATTGGTGTGTTATTCAATCTATCCTGAAAATCCATCTTCCATAATAGAAAAGTGATCCTCTTAAAATGCAGTCTGGTAGCAAGTCATTGCTTCATAATCACTTGCAGTATATATTTCAACTTCCTTATATAGCATCTGAGATTATTAACAGGATATCATATATAAACTGCCTGAACAGTGCCTGGCATACAGTCAGTACTACGGAAGTGTTTGCTAATTTTAAAAAAAAAGACCTGATCTCCACTTTCCTTTCAATCTAAAACTCGCTGTCTTATTCATTGCGGTTTTCTGAGCACTCTGTGCTACCAAACACCGCTGGCTTTTACATACACACACACACACACTTTCTACATCATGATCTGGTTTGCTGCTTTCTGTGTGGAACTCATTTTTCTTTCACCCCCTTTTGTATATCACAGTCAATTTTCTCCCATTCAGTGCAACCTTTCACATTGTGGTGTTCCTTCAGTTGCAATCACCACACCGGATTTTAATTTATATTCCTCTGCTCTAACAGGTAGCAGCTCCTTGAATGCAGGGGTTGTGTCTTATTTCAAGCACCTGACTAAATACTGGCAGCAGTTAGCATCTGGTATAAACTCAAACTATTTTTGAACAAATGAAAAGTGTATGCTGCAATTAGACAAAATGTGATTAATAATTCACACACATAAGTGTGCATATAGCCACTTGAGCAGAAGAAATTTTAGTAAAAACTGGAAAGCTGCTCTTTAATTTCTAGCTAACCAGTCATGGCTGTAAGACAGCAAGGTCTGCATACATGGTTTGAGTGATTTGGCATTTGACCCGTTGGTGTCAAATTGAACCTTATTGAGCAATTCATGGACCACCTACGCTTTCACACTGGAGTCAGGTGGGGGGAATTCCGTTCCACTTTCAGCCAACTCCCAGGACCTCGGTAGGGGCCGAAGAGTCCCAGAGGCTTTCTTTTCTCTCTCATCCTCGGAAGCCCCGTCCGGCACAGCGCCCAGCACTTAGTGGAGCCTCCCCTCGCAGCAGCTGGCGGTGGTTGATCGTCCCCGGGCCCCGCGCGGGGTTGGTCCCGCCCCGAGCATCACGTGCAGGAGGCTGCTGGCTCCCCCCTCCCCCAGGGCCCCCGCCCCAGCCTCCTCCTCCCGGTGAGGGTGTGCGAGGCGGACCGCGCGAGGGGGAGCGAGCGAGCGGGCGCTGCCGGAGCCCGCAGCCCCGGCGCAGGCTGCCGCCCGGAGCCCCGCAATATGCCGCCGCGGCCCTGTGGCTCTCGGCCATGGCGAGGCTCAGCCGGCGCGTCCCTTGCACCCTGCTCCTCGGCCTGGCCGCGGTGCTGCTGAAGGCACGGCTGGTTCCCGCGGCCGCCAGAGCCGAGCTCAGCCGCTCGGATCTCAGCCTCATCCAGCAGCAGCAGCAGCAGCAGCAGCAACGGCAGCGGGAGGAGGCAGAGGAGGAGAGGCCAGAGGTGCCCGGGGCATCCTCCACCGTCTCGGCTCCAGGTAGGTCCCGCCGCCCGGCCCGGCCTTCCCATTTTTTCTGCCGTTCTCCCCTGGCATCGCTTCCTCCCTTTCCCCCAGTCACATCGCTTCCCGTTGCCTGTTTCTGCCCATGCCCAGCTCCCCACACTGCTTGCCCAGGACTCAGCTTTGGTTTCTGAATTCTGCCCTTTGGGGGGTGAGCTTTCTAGAAAACACAGACAACTGCAGTGGGTGGGAGGAGTCGGGAGGGACAGGGGTAAATGCTGCCTTCTCCTTTCCTGCCTCAGTTCTTCCCTTTGCCCGGGGAATGACTGTACACACGCACGCGCGCACACACACACACACACACACACACACACACACACACACACACACGGTTCTCAAATCCCTTCAGCATTCTGTTCTCGATCTTTTCCTCCCCTAGACACCGAAAAATCTTGCAATAAACACCCACACAACCCTTTCACCATCTTGCCTCTCCTGCTCTATTTAAATTTAGACCGGGGGGAAGAAATCTTGATTTATTATTCATTTCTATCTCTTCATATCCTGGAGAGGGTTTAAGGCATTTTATAAGAATGTCTGATAGAATGAAAAAGACAAAATGAACTAGGAGTTTGTAACTGAAGGAAGGAGAGAAAGGAAAGGGTGACAGATAAGATAAAGTCTGTAGTGATGTTAGTTAGTTCTGCAAAAGCCTGACCCCAGAGAGGGGAATTTACTTGTTTGTAAGACTTAATGAGGCTCATTCTTGACACTATTTAGTGAGGGTGAGGCTATAACCTTTAGTATGTGTAGCTGAAACAGTCCTTCAGGTCCTGCCTCATTCCCCCTCCCAATTCAAACACTGCCAGCAAGCAAAAAAGCTGGATTATCCTTTTTAATAGCCTCTCCCCACCCCCCACCTCTTCCCTCCCTACAGTAGATACTGACTCTCTTTGGGGAAAAAAAAATCCGTTTTCTGGTTAGTGGGCTGAGGTTTCTGCAAAACCAAAGTGAATTATGTTTTCGATTTAACATCCTGCCTGAAAACATAGACACGGTGTTGAAAATGAGATTTTTAAAGAGTGGAATCAGCAGCTTATTTTGTACTGCTTGCTCATCATCAAAGAGCAATACTCGAGCATGCCAGCTGCGATGCATGACACAGTCAGGATGATTTAATTTATCAGAGTGCTCTGAGCATAGGATGAAATCACCAAAGTGTGCAGGAAAGCATGTGTTTCTGACTCCCTCTTAAACCAATTAACAAGACTCAAGTGTAGCTAAAAGTCCTGAAAGGTTTGCAGTGTGTAGTGTTTTTACACCTACCTTTTTACAACGGTACGTGCTAAAAACATAGAGCAGGTGAGGCTGCTGTTAGACCTGCTCTTTGCTAAACTTAAGGCATTAGAGATAGAGTGATTAAGAGCCCACCTTCATTATGAGAGGGATTTCTAAATTAACTATGAAACAAATGTAGGAGAGTTTTGGTTTGCAATATATTTTGATTTCTTTCAGGAATATTCATTAAATGGTCTAGAGGGCTATGATATTATATATAGGTTGTGATGAACAGCTGGAATAATATAATCTTTGTATTCTAGTACACACATCAACATATTTATGAGGGAATGTTTTTGGAAAGGGTGGTTATTTAGGAAACGAGCAGATTTTGTCTTCCTTACCTATTAATCAAGATAAAGGAACTACTGTCCACTAGATCAGCCTAGAGCCTGAAAAAAACATGAGCACTCCTGCTTTCCCTCAAAAACTCTGGCTCCCTGAGCCAATGGCAAGAAAAGACCAATTTATTATTTTACTTACTGTAATTTTGAGTTGTATAAGGAAACACAACCTCTAAACTAAGTTAAAATAATCCTTTTTGTGCATTGCGATCTCTAGATTGAAGTGGTCTTCCTGCTTCAGTCTTTATTTCTCTACTGTCTGTTCTCCCCACATAGCCACTGATCTTTTTAAAAACATTATATAGGACCATTTCTGCTCACAGCGCTCTTAAGGCTTCTCATCTCCCTCACACTAGAAGGCCAGATCCTAAAAATGGCCTGCAAAAGCCTAGATCCTTTGTAACCCCTCCCCCTCTCATCACTGGCCCTCTCTCTTCTGTAGCCGTGCTGACTTTGTTTCTTCAGTTTGCAAGTGGGTCTGGCATGGGGCTTTGCACTTGCCAACTTCTTTACATGAAATTTTGGAACTTAACTATCTTCAGGTTTGCTTCAAATGTCACTGTAACAGAGGCTGTCTTAAATAGCAATCTGCAAGTCCTTTCACACTGATCCTCTCCGCCTTATCCTCAGCCTTTCTATAGAAGCCTGACTCCCCTTACTAGAATGAATGCTTTCTGTGGTCTGAACTTTGTTTCGTTCCCTGCTACGTTTCTGGTACCCAGAAGAGTACCTGGTATGTACAGGTGCACAGAGGGTTGATGAATGAACAAATGAATGTTGGCATTCATGATCTTTTTTACCTTTTGAGTATTTACTGTTTTAAATCTAATGAAATTCTTCATTGGAATTGAGCAGAGGATATATGTAAAATAAAGATAGGTTAGTAGAAATATTTGTAAGTAGAGGCTATAAAGTGTATACATTTTGAACCTTTGATTTTTGTTAATTTTAGTGTTTATGAGACTGTAGTGAGCTAATCAATACCAATACTTGAGTCCACTTACTGGGTTCTGTCAAGATTCTTTACTCCAATGTGTAATCCTCTTATGACCTAGTAGGTTATTAATTTATCTTTTAATAGCTGTGATTGAATCTAATTTCATTCTTTGCCTCTGTAAAGTATTTTGATTCTTTGGACATGAATGAAACTACAGGACTTTTCTCAGGCAAAATTTAAAAAATTAAGACCTGTTTAGGGACTGGTATACAACTGAGCTTTATTATTAGTTCATAGAGAAAATAACCATTGATCTTGTTTAACATTCTTTGGATTTTATGATTCTGAACATTGGTCTTTTTGTACTGCTGAAAAAAAAAAGAGAGGCAAAAGTCAAACAAGGTATTAAAAATTCAGGATGTAAATAAAACAATTTCCAGTTCTCATTAATTTATAAAACATCATCTTTAGAGGTCAGAGCTACTAAAGACTAAGGTTGAGATCTGTCATATCAGTTTTCTCCAGTGTATATAGCAGGTCAGATTTCTCTATCTGCACCAATATTTGTTAGAAATAAATATTTTGAGTGGCCAGGGAAGAATTAATTTGGGGTGTTGGTGGTAACTGAGACAATGATATCATATTCACTCTGATGTCCAATTAGATGAATGCATGCTGGGGGTCGGGAGGGGAGCTGAAGAAAATAACAAGCTCTGTTTCAAAATCTCCATGTGAAACGCAGATGCAGGGCTCTCCATGAATTTTTATAAATGTCTTCTGTATATAGAGAAAGATTCTTAAGAGGCATATATCCATGGTATAAAAATTTTTTATTGTACATTTCACTGATATATATTTTTGGACTATACATACATATGTATATATGTGTAAATATTTATATTTGGGAAATAATAGATATGTAGAAATTAAATAGAATAGTATTTTAAAAAAGCCCGTACTTACCATTACCAACTTTAACAATGACTAAATTCACTTATTCCTATACCTGTTATCTCTATGTGGGATTTTTCTGGAGGGGTTGAAGGAAAAATGTACACATGTACCTTAACTGTTTCAACAAATGGATATACCCAGTAACTTTCAAGCTTATCAAGATATAGAATATTTATGTCACCCTAGTAAGTTCCTTCATAACCCTTCTCCCATGCAATCCCTGCTCTTTACCCAGAGACAGCTACTGTTAAGATTATTTTCATCATAGATTAATTTTGAATTTTCTAGAACTTCATAAAATAGAATCATATATCATGTACTTTTTTGTGTCTGGCTTCTTTGGCTCAGTCAAATTTCCATAGGTTTCATTCATGTTCTGTAGTTTATTATTTTTATTGCTGAACAGTATTCCATTGTATGAATTACTGAAATTTGGTTTATTACTTCTGTTGATGGATATTTGGATTATGTCCAGTTTTAGCTATTGTAAATGAAGCTGCTACTTTCTTATACAAATCTTTGTGTGGACACATCTTCATAGCTCTTCAGTAAGTGCCTAGGAGAGGAGTTGCTGGGCTAATAGTTATGATTTTGAAGATTTTTTTAAAAATACTATACAGCTGGAACCTCAATACAGTTTAATTAAAAATAATAAAATTCAACATAAAATATTACTCTCTACTTTGTATTAATTCAGGTAACGTGATTAAAACAAACCTGATGGAAATTTCCCATCCATAAAACTTTTTAATTTTATTTCTGTTCAATGAATTTGAAAGTCAATAAGATAAGTGTGATTAGATATCAACTGTTTTATCTAAAGCTTTGAGGTCATATGCCCAAATGAAATGATTATGATTTCTTTCCAGGATTTTAATAACCAAGGGGAGCTATTTCTTGGTGTTGATTACAGGTTGAAAACACATGCCGTTGTTTTGAATTTGAGTCCAATGTGTTTTAGTGGTGATTTTTTAATATTCTTAATGATTGAATAGAAACTACCAAATATTTTTCTGAAACTGAAGTCTTCCTCCTCAGCCTCCCTGGTGGCACAAGGGGTTAAGATGCAACCTATGAAACTGTCCGCAGCCACTGCAGCATAAGTTCGGTCCCCAGCCAGGGAGCAACCCACATGGCACAGCAGACCTCTTCTGACTTGCCCACTGCTCCCCTCAGCAGTGTATTTCTGTTGACCTGCCTGTTCTGCTCCCCACTCTGTCTCTGGTGAATCCTTTCACCTCCCACACCTCTGGCCTGTACTACAGTTCTTGTATGCATAAATAAATAAATCTTTTAAAAAGTCTTCCTCCTAAATATATCAATATTGAACTTGCATCTCCTTCAACTTTGTTTGTCTAGATTAGCTGCAGTATTATTGTCATTCATTCACTTGGTTTAGTTCTACTTAGTTTCATGTATCTTAATTTCCTTTTGTCCAAATTTCCCTAACTATGAAATGGGTA